GACTCCCAAACGTCAGCTAACTCTTATATTTAGCATGTTAGCGACGAAGTCAGGCCTTGCAAAAAGTAGTAGTGAGGTATTTGTTTTTGAATTAGGAAAGGTAATTTCTGAAAGGTATTGTTCAAATCCAAAACATGTTTAGTTGTTTAAATAATCTAAGCTTCCCCTCATTCCCACTTAAGATTCTTCCAATATACTCGATACCTCTCTATTAATTTCTTTTTGACTTTAATATATTACTTATGAGATGAATCTACAATCTAGTACAGTATAAATATATGTAAGGGCACAAACTTTGTCCAGCATATAGTTAATACAGGATTATAACTGTCCAAAACTCAACATACCAAATAAGCAGTGCATAATAATTGTTTTCTATATATTGATAATGCTTACAGCTACTTATTCATGGTAATTGCACTTCTTAATTGTGTGTAATAGAGCATGGAAAGTGCTGCAGTTTTGAACACGGTTTAGTACTTTCTGAACATTTGTGTCTCCAGATGTATTCATTTCATGATGCTTTAATACTGACCTATTTTTTTAGTAACACAAAAGATAATCTACAGGAGTATATATAGCAACTGTTAAAAACAGCACAAACTACATGAAGACTAATATCACCATTGAATTGGACCTTAACTAAAAAACTCAATCAATACAACTAGAGTTTGTAAGGCACTCATATTTAAACTAGGCAAAAAATGTTATTTTCAAAAGAAAAATTGTACAAAAGTATTTTGTAATGGGCTGACAGAATGTAAATAAAGCATTATTTTGGGCAATATTTTACTCTTGAAAGCTTTACAACAATGAAAGACATAACATAAAGGATTGTAGAAATTGCAAGGTTATAATATACAGTAATTGCCTTCCCAAACAAGTAAGAAGGAGATATATATTAAACTTGGATAAGAGCATTTTGAAGATGAGTGGATGCTACAGGTGGATATTTAACCTCTTCAATGATTCAGTAAGTTGAATGAGCTTTCACTGTATACCAGTAGATGTATAACACAAACATATTAGATTAATTTTTAACAGAAAAAAAGTTGTTTAATGTTAAGCTCTTCACCAATTTATAACAATTTGCTTATCCACAGGGTGGATAGTCATCACGTGACCTTCGCAATTGATGCTATCTGAACAGGATGTAAGATTTTCTTGATTTAGCCAGAAAAACGAATATTTTTCATTTATACTTTGTTAACATCGTCAAATCTCACCCCACTGATGTATTCTATCTCAGTCTTTTCAACAAGCCTAAATTGACAAGCAGAGGACGCATATTTTTTGAGGTATGAACAATGTATCTAAATTCCTCTGGTGGATGATTGTCCCACACATGATTTGCAAATAGTTCAGTGTAGTGTTGGAGTGTTGGAAATTCAACCAATGGATGGCAGTGATAACAGGCAAACATACAATTCTAGGTTGATTTTGGTTCAATCCAAAATTAAACACTAGCATTTGGAAAATTAAAAAAATAACATAGCATGCCTCCCTTTGGATTTGGAAACCAGAGTTTCTAAATTACCATGTTCAAGTGCTACAACACATTGGAAAAAAGCAAATACATGTATGTTTAAATAACACACAAAAACACGAGGACTAATATCCATGTAGTGTATTTTAAAAATCTGTACAGACACCATCATGCAGAATTTTAGAGCTGTTCAGACACAATCATTTTTCGAAACAAAAAACAGTGATATCTCAAAAAATATGCGTCCTCTGCTTGTAAATTTAGATTTACTTGAAAGACTTGGATAGTATGCATAAGTGGGGCGAGATTTAACGCATTTAACAAAGTAGAAATATAAATAAAATATTCATTTTTCTGGCTTAATTGGGAAAATGTTACACCCTGTTCAGATACCTTCAATTGCGAAGGTCACTTGATGATTATCAGATTATCCCTACCGTGTTATCTTTTGGGAGATATTTCTATTTGAGATTATTAGCAATAATTGCTAGGTCAGTAGCAGAAAAGGGAATGAACTGTGAGCAAGGATGTATTTAACTAGACATTTAACATTGAAAGCGATCTTAAGGATGCTCCATAGCAGTGATGGGACTCACCCAAATTCGATCATATTACAAAAGAAATAAAACCTTCTAAAATTATTATGCTCCAAAACAAAAATTCTAAAAAACAAATTTAAACAGATCACTTTTGACCCATACCGTTTCTGTAACTTAAGTGACAAGGTTATTCAGGAAAAACATTTCGAAAAATCTTAATTTAATTATTAGTCATGTGATTTCATGCATTGGAGTAACGAGGTGCCTAGGGGATGGGTGATTTCAACAGGGTAGGTAAAATGAACCAACGAGGTGGGGCACCATGCAATTAGATCCTGAGAAGACCACAGCACAAATAACTAAAGAAAAGCTAATAAGAGGCTATAAGAGCTATAAAAAGAGCTATGAAAAGCTATAAGAGGCCTCCCAAATAAGAGTGTGACAGGAATAGGCATATGACCAGAGGATGTATAGGCATGGTATAGGCATCACTATTATCAGCTCAATATAGAGTAAATGAAAGGAATATGACCAGAGAATGTATAGACAATCATTATCCCACCGAACGAAGTTCAAGGGGGATATAGAGAAGCCGTCCGTCTGAAATCAATTATAATCTACCTACATGATGTAGACATCCAAATGTTGGTCTGAATTTATCTTTGTGGAAAGATTGTATGCTTCAGTTGCTCTTAACAAAACATGTGGAACAGTGTATCTATATATTACAAGATGTCCGTCCGTCCGTTCGTTTGTCTGTGTGTCCGGGCGATAACTCCAATTTTCAATATGGCCGCTCAATTCAAAATGGCCGCTAGTTTTCGTAAAAAATGTAATCGTTGATAACTCAAATACAAGTTGACAGATTTGGTTCAAATCTTACATGCTGATGCCTAGGGACAAAGGAGTTTCGCACAAAAAGAGATTTTCAAGATGGCCGCTTAATTTCAAAATTGCGGCCATTTTTCGTAAAAATATGTAACCTTTGATAACTCAAACACCAGTGAACGGATTTAGTTCAAATTTTAGATGATGATGCTTAGGGACACAGTATCTATGTTCGACAAAAATTTCAAGATGGCCGCTTAATTTCAAAATGGCGGCAATTTTTCGTAAAAAACGTAATCTTTGATAACTCAAATACCAGTGTACAGATTTTGTTGAAATTTTATATGATTATGCCTAGGGACACAGTAGCACTGTTCAAGAAATAATTAACAAGATGGCGGCTGAATTTCAAGATGGCGGCCAATTTTCGTGAAAAACGTAATCTTTGTTAACTCATATACCAGTGAACGGATTTGGTTCAAATTTTATATGATGATGCCTAGTTCACAATGGTATAAACTAATTTTGTGCCTTTCATGCTTCTATCTCAAAGTGCACAAACATTTCAAAATTTACACTAGCTATAATAAGCATAATATGTTTTGTTTGGTGGGATTTGCTACTCCGTGGAGTTGCTGTTTTTCTAGTTAATTCATGTAAATGTTTTTTTTGTAATTCTAGTAAACGAGAATTTTCGTTTAGAAATAAGGAGGTGTACTTTAATTTGCTAGTCTATGAATGTTTTTCGTATTACCTTAACTGGCAATAGCCATCGTGTTCCCAGCACATCTGAAGAGCATTCACTTGGAATAAATTGACAGCCATCCATCCAATTTTTCCAGAAATTATTTGAAATAAGTAAGTCCAAGAAATCAACGTATAAGCCTACTTTTGAAATTGTAATGTATTTTCGCAAAAGAACATGTTAGCGGTATAACTCATATACCAGTGAACGGATTTGGTTCAAATTTTATATGATGATGCCTAGTTCACAATGGTATAAACTAACTTTGTGCCTTTCATGCTTCTATCACAAAGTGCACAAACATTTCAACATTTACACTAGCTATAATAAACATAATATGTTTTGTTCGGTGGGATTTGCTACTCCGTGGAGTTGCTGTTTTTCTAGTTGCTTATCAGCTCAATACAGAGTATGTGTTGGGAACATTAAACTAATGTTATAATAAACTTAATAGACAATGATCACTGCTGAATAGAACTGATATGATATCTTGAAAATATATTCTACATAGCACTGCCTATAATAAGTGACTCCACTGAGAACCTAGCTATAAAATAATGCAGTAGCCATGATATATGTAATTTAAATTGATAATGGAACAGAAACAAATTTACAAAAATATAAAGTTAATTTGTTTTAAGGACTTTGAATTCAGTGATTATTATATAGATTCAATGAGTCTTTTAAAGTAAAGAACATAGAAATATAAGATGAATAAGTATTTATTTTTTTCAAGGGAAGTGAATATCATCAGGTTTAATACTGATAGGTAATACTGTACTATTAATCAATAATAATGTTACCTTGCTGACACTGGAGCAAATTACAATGCACTAGTCGTAGCTGGATGACTGTTGTTTACCTGTATCTGAGATATTACACCACACCTAGAAACATCTAGAAACTAAGAACAGAGAGAAGATTGTTCATGTTAGACAAGATGGTCATATGACACCTGAGAAGATTACATACAGCTGATAATGACATGCCTTCATAAGATTCTTAGGATTCAGTGTTTGTTCCATTGATTCTGGATTGGCTAGATTTGACCAAAAATGGCTAAAAATCAATAACCATAGAGGAAAACAAGACAAGTCTGACAGAGTGAAACATCATGTACAATGTATATGAATACTCTGCTTCTCATATCAGGAGGATTTAGTAATTATTTAAGTATAAACAGAATTGCAGAAGACAATGGAGAAATACCAGGGGATAGATACTAGATTAATTGGATATTCACACTTTCAATTAAGATTGTTAAACCTATTTATCAATGATCACAGTAAACTTACAAATAATTATAAGATTTTATTATAAATTCTGTTTCAAATGATAAGCCATCTGAGGATAATATTAACATAATATTTATATGTTGGATTTAAAGCCTATTTTGCATATTTTGTGTATATAGAAATACAAAGGCTTGTTTTGGTACTATATGTGAAAAGTTGTAGATATATTTATGAAAAGTTAAGCCTTTAGTAACATATTATTCCGAGATATTATTAAACAGTGGAAGGAACAGTAAATATGTAGAGAAGTTTGATGCTAACGATCAAAATACAAGGTTTTTGGTGTTTCTAACATGATCTTGCTATAGAGAAAATATTTTAGGGATATAATTGAACAGTACCTGAGAAACACTAACAGTAACAGTTTCCACATATATGGATGAATGTTTATTTCAATATCTGGAAAATTGCATCTAATTTGGCATTGTTTGGTTTCTATGGAAACCGTGAAGTGTGTCAGCATGACGGGTGATTCAGAAGACTGGGAGCGTGTGGTATCAACTTCTATGCTAGAAGTTATAAAAAGGGTGAGCTTATTAAATATACAAACTTGCCCAGATTCATGATTTATATATTGTTCGTTGGGATTTGCTTCTCTGTGGAGTTGCTGTTTTCTAGTTTAATTTTCTAGTGATTCATTAATTCTTAAAAATTATCAAGCCTCAAATAATAACCCAGGTACACTACATCTTTTGTGCAAAACTAAAAGATATTACTAAAGACCCTATGTGCAGATGTGGAAAGAGTTATGTTTATCTAAAAGTGGCACATAACATTTTCAAATATATGCTTTAAACAGCTTCTCTCTGGTTGACCTCTTGAGTCCACAAATGTACCCCTTGGAAGGCCAGGTAGAATGTTGAATATAACATCTTTTATATGGTTATGGTTGGAGCTAGAAAACAGGTTTCCTTTCTGGAGATGGCAAAGTTGAGTCTAGTCTTCATGCTGGTGTCTGGATTCTGCTAATTAAACACTCTAATGCTACTAAGAAGGGGTGTGACATGCCAAGATGTACCTTGATTGTCAATATAGGGACATAGTTATTAGAGATCAAGCATGGCATTTCCTGATTCCCTGCATTCTCCCTGAAGATATTGTAATGACCCTAAGTGTGCTCACCCTGGGAGCTTTAGTGTAATGAGCCAGATACTAGACCTGAAAGGGAATGTACTTTTAGTGCCCTGTGTGGGAATCGAGCCCAGGATCTAGGACTCTCTGCTCACAAGTCTGACGCTCTACCGCTTTAGCCAATAGGGGCTAGCCACTACAGCCAAGCTTGTAATAGGGACTTATGCTGTCAAGGGTCATTGCACCATCTTAAGATTAGAATATCTTGCACACCATACAATTAGACTGTTCAAAAGATGCATGCAATTTTTGAACTTTTTGCTTGTGATTTTTTATCTTCAGCTTCAAGTGTTTACATAGTCATTGTATGTTATAAGGTATATATTAACTCTGCTATATTTGTTCAAGCCTCATTCCATAATACATTCAAGTGTGCTTTGTGTTTATTATGTAAGGCCATAAGAAGTAGATTCTTTGTTTTGCGTCCCCTTGCTTGCACGTTTTGGAGTAAATCAGAAAAAACAAACACATCCAAATAGCAATCACAAGGGTCTGAAAATACCATCGCATCTTATTCAATCAGAATCAGGCGAAATGGCGGATAATTTGACGTGCGTCAAAATTGACAGAGTTATTGATCACTTTGGCATACATTGAGTATTTTCTTATTTTTTACCCTTGAATAATAGCTATGTTTAAATATATTGTATAAAATGTATAGATATGTGTTTGTAGTCACTGCAAAATGGTATGTCATCCCTTTTTATGCCCACAAAATGTATACATATCTCAGCAAACAAGTTTGTGTTTTTTCTTGAGTTTGTGTTTGTTTTCCTTGTACTCTTGCATGATTTGGATTTTGCCAGGACGCAAAACAAAGAATCTACTTCTTATGGCCTAACCCATATATCTTCTTTATTAAAGGCAAGTTAAAATTGTATTTTCCTTTGACTTCCTCCTGTACACCCCTGCCTTCACTATGTGTTCCACTCTCTCAGAACAGAGATTAAAGTAACATAGGGGATTGATACAAATTAGTGACAATACAATACAATATTTGGTTGACCATTTTGGCTGTAGTCACAGATAAACTGTTTAGAGGGTTCTGGAATAGTATACCTTTATACAAGTTTTAACTAAGGTTATCATCAGAAATACTGTAAATATACTCTAAACGGGCTCTAAACTTGGCAGGAATTCTGATGATATACATCATAAATCATCATTTATGAAGTTAACACCCAATTGATATTTTCTATCAAGTTATCTCTCAGATTGGGAATGTTATATGCCTGAAGGTGAAGTGTGTGTGTAAGGGGTTCAGAAGAGCCTGAATGAAGACTTACATTTGAATCATACATAGAAAACACCTGAAATGAGGTACTGTAGATACACTTAATTTGGCTACCATTTTAATTTGACAGGTTTCCTATTTGGATGGCAGTGCTATACCAAGACTTACTGTATGTAGAACACATGAATCTGAAATGTTTATTTCCAGATAAATGATAAACTCGAGCTCAGTCCTGAATCCGCCAAATTAAATATGAAATTGAGCAAATCCGCAAAATGAAGTAGCGTCAAATTAAGTCTAGTACAGTAGTTCATTCAATAGATAGAAAACATGGAAGAGATTTGGTAAGGGAGATAAGATTAGAATAGTAATAGGCCCTGATATGAAATATCCGATTTCAAAAAACATGAACATCAATCAAGTTTTAGTTGAGTTTAACTAGACTTATAATGATCAGCCAAAATTAAAATATATATCTCTATTTATAGCATATTTTGCTCTATTAGTCTATATTTCTCTGCTAGATTTTCTGACTTGTAATTCTCAATTTGGACTGGAGTGTTGACTACATTCCTATTTATTTTATTTCTTGCTGATTCCATTAATTGTTTCATTATTTCTCATTTAAAGCATTTGAGATGAGATGATCAGGCACATATGGGGTGTAATATATTGCCATGACCAATGAAGAATTATTAATCTTAGTCCGTCTGTCTGTCTGTCCATCCATCCGTCTGTCAACAATTGGCGTGTTTTAAAACCTCTGTCAATAGGATTCCCGTTTTAAGTTATTTTTGTTCGACAACATCAATATAGAAAACCTCCCTATGACTCCTGGTTCAAAAGCTTGCCTATTTTCAAAATGGCCACCATTTTTGTCTCGCGAAATTCACTTTTGGACCATTTGCTTTAAAACTCTGTAGATAGGATTCCCGTTTTAAGTTATTTTTGTTCAACATCAATACAGAAAACTCCCCTATGACTCTTGGTTCAAAATCTCATCTATTTTCAAAATGGTTGCCATTTTTGTCTCACGAAATTCACTTTTGGCCCATTTCCTAGCTTTACAAATAATTTCAGGTTTCCTGCATTGTAAAAAGCCATGTCACTGTAAAGAGTAGTTGTATGAAATAATTTTGTTACAAAATATCGGCAAAAAATCTTTTGGACTATTTGCCTTAAAACCTCTGTCGATAAGATTCCCGTTTTAAATTATTTTTGTTCAACATCAATACAGAAAACTCCCCTATGACTCCTGGTTCAAAAGCTCACCTATTTTCTAAATTGTTGCCATTTTTGTCTTGTGAAATTCACTTTTGGCCCATTTCCTAGCTTTAAAAATAATTTCAGGTGTCCTGCATTGTAAAAAGCCATGCCACTGTAAAGAGTAGTTGGGTGAAATAATTTTGTTACAAAAAATCGGCAAAAGATTTTATCCATTTTTTTAATTTTCTGCCATTTTAGCCATCATTCACTTTTGAGCAACACCATGTGAGCCCAGTACCCATGGTACTATTTTTATTACATCTTGGAGGTAATGAATCCTCATTGATCTTTGAGGTTATTTATCCTTTGTGCTCATACATCCTGGAGGTCATAGATTTTAGTGTAGATCTTGGGGATTCATTAGATCTTCAGGGTTCTTAGATCTTGATAGGTTTTCTGAAAAATGAGTGTTTGTTATGAAGGTTTATGTTTCTATGTCAGTATCATCATTGGTTTATATTAGGCTATTATATCCCACACAAGTCAAAGTCATATTAAGTTTAAACTAATTTTAAACATGATAAATTACACATACACCTGTATTTTAACTAAAAGGTCAGGTCAACCTTAATATATGTTGATAACCTTCCTTTGAACTGAATCTCAAAATAATAAATGATAAGAAATCAATGGCCAGAAAGTAAGATAGCTAATTATATTATATCAAAATTAGAATTTCGTAAAACTAATAGTACAACTAGTTATTTTTAATGAGGTACAGTAAAACCTGTCTAATCCGAACACCCATGGGACCAGCCAAAAGAGTTCAAATTGGCAGGTGTTCAAATTTCGAGGATTTTGTTGGTCGGGGGGGGGGGGGATTTTCATTGTTCAGTGCACTATATTGAACACTTAATACTAAGTCAGAAAACAATACATGTTGTTGATGAGTTAATTCTACAATAGGCCTATAGCCTATATGCTATGTTTTATTTATATTTTGAACAATTTCATCATTTTAGTAAAAATAACTTATATTTTGGCAAAAACTTTGTAATACACTGTGAAAGTATATGATAGTCTCGTACGAAATCTTATGCTTATCAAATGGCTTATCCCATATTATGGTTACATAGCACTGCTTTACTTTTGCTTGTAAAAGTCCTTCATTGTTGTTTGTTTCTTGGCACTTTTAGCATTAGCAATATTTGAGTAGATATCCTTTTCAAGTAAAAATAATTTTTCATGAGTGTTCATTCGAGATGATGTATAATCCTTCAAAATATCAAGGGCATTCAGGATGTCAGATGTATGGGAATATTACGAAGTTGGATTTTTTCTCCTCGTGATATAATCGTGTCTGCAAATGGCGTCTGTGTTGTCTTTGTGATTATAAAACATTTACTGATTGAATCTTAGCTATCATAACAGACCCATGGGATATAAAACAGTTAAGACCTGTTCATAATTCAAATTAAAAACATCCAGTTAATTTACAATAAGGATAAACCAATTATCTCCCAGACTCTCACCTTTCTCTTAATCCAAATCAAAAACATCCAGGTAATTTCCAATAATGATAAATCAATTATCTTCTTGATTCACACCTTTCTCTTAATCCAAAAATAAAACATTCAGTTCTTTTCTAATAGGATAAACCAATTAACTCCTGTATTCACACCTTTCCAAAACATCCTGTTGTTTTCCACAAATTAGGGATGCCACTGAGACTAAATAAGTTAATTAGGACAATTGGTTCTTTGATTGCATTTGTATATATGTAAAGATAAATAACAACTATAACATTGACTCAATATCTGGCTTTAATTGAAATGTCCAGACATTTGATTTCTGATAAAAATGTTCAGATTAGACAGGTCACTTTTTCAAATCTGGTTGTTCACTGTTCAGATTAGGAGGTGTTCAGATTTCAAGGTTTTTTTAACATGGGAGTCAATGGGAGGAAAAAATGGGACCGAAAAAAAGTGTTCAAATTGGAAGGTGTTCGGATTAGCCAGGTGTTCAGATATACAGGTTTTACTGTACTTGTATTTGGTACCTATTCCAGATTGTCCTTTCTTGATGAGTTTTAATAATTCTTCTTCATAGATTCAAAGACAAGCTTAAAAGAAACATTATTATATCAAAGCAAATTAAGAACAAACAAAGGAGGAGGGAAATTAGTGCAGCAGATTTCGGATAGTCATATGTTGGATTTTGGAGGATTTAAACAGGTGCATATGTTAGATCAATGCACTACCTCCAGGAAAAGCACTCATAGAGATGATAAAATAATTTCGACTCTGAGACAGAGGAGGTGCAAACAACCCACCCACATGTTTTTCTGAAATGATGTTCTGATTTTGAAGAATTGAAAGCTTGAATTGTTATAATCTGATTTTACATTTCCAAGCAATGATTATATACTTGCAGGGCTCCGATCCTCTCATATCTACAGCTAGAGGGAAGCTCCAGACAAAACGCTCAAAATTAAATGATGAAATCAATAGAGAGTTACGGATGCGAAATGGAGCAGAGAACCTTTTCAAGTAAGGACTATATATATCACTTATACTTATGCAAAGTAGACCCTCAAAGTACATTCCTTAATGAAAAAAAGAATAATGCCATTTGTCCCAAGCTTCCAATATACCATTGGAAAGCTGCAAGTGTCAGCTTTAAGGATCTTACCTGCTTGAAAATGTCTGTTGGTTACAAAGTCTTAATATTAACCCTTTCATCACCAAGGAGTAACAGGCCCGTAGCCAGGGGGGGTTCGCAGGGTTCGGGCGAACCCCCCCCCTGGCCAAAAATTCTTTCAAAATCATGCAGTTTTTCACCATTTTGAGCACTTCTCTTGTGATTTTAGCCTTATTTGGGCCAAAATTGTCAAATGTGAACCCCCCTGGAAATTTTTGAAAACTGAACCCCCCCCTTGGCAAATCCTGGCTACGGGCCTGAGTAAAATTATGGAACTTATCGTAGTGACTGATATGTCATTTACATGACATGGTTATTGAGTCAATAAAAGATATATATATCATAATTATTCAATCCAAAAACGTTTTTGTCAGTTTTTATATTTTCTGTTTAAATGTCCTTAAAACAACTTCTGCTAGGGTATAACAGTATAATAAGGATGTTTGATCTCAATGTTTATTAAAAAAAAATGTTTGAAGTTATCACTCAAAAATGTGAAAAAATTATGCTAACTTTCTTTCTAATATGATTAAGGTGCTTTGTAGGTGTCAGGGTTGTCAAATTAACCCTTTCATCTCCAAAGGGTCATTTTTGAATAAAACTAAAATAAATTCCTAAAATCCAAACATAAATAATGAGAGAATATATAACTTTAACATAAGAAAATATTTATTTTCCTATATTTCTATCCAAAAGTTTTTCACAAGAGCTTGGGATCTTGTATCACACGGGTCAAGTCTAACCGACTATATACAACCTTCCTCTGAGTAAGATCCGCTAATACCGCCTATCAAATGTAGATAAAGTTCCAAGACAAGGAAAATGGACAAGAAAGGTCAGGCCATTATCAATTCTCTTAGATGCTTGGAATCGTCACTAGCATGTTCTAGCAGGCAAAATTGGCCTAGAATTATAGTTGAAATATATCTTTATGTCCAAATTAACTAATTAATTAAGTAAAACGTATAAGGGTTTTTTGATTTGTTTATCTCATTCATACTCGCTTTCCTTGACCAAGAGTCATATATCACAAAGACATGGTTCGGTAAACAAATGTTAATTTCGAAATATATTTATTGTCAAATTATTGGGTGAAAATATGAACACCAAAATCTTCAGTTAAACTTGGTCCCAAAAGATCCAATGTTATCGTAGGATGGATCCGATGTGATTGATGAGTAATATTATCAAAGATCTGAAAATATCTTGAGTAAAAAGATCTCAGGATCCAAACATTCCTTGAGTAAAATCCGTTGAGATCCAATCCAATCGTCGAGTTTATGAACATGCTGATGATGAAATAATAAATATACACTCTGCAAATATACTAAGACCATCCCCAGTCACCACGCACTGTACATCGAAACATTGTATACCAGGTCCTAGGTACAAATGCTTTCACTTCAATTATAAAAAAACATGAGATGAATGACTTTGTGGTTCTCTTCAGTCAGCATCATCCATTACTGAGTATTAAACTCAATGTGGCCGATTTTTTAAAGGCTAAAATTGATTAACAATATTTTGGACTATTTTATTGTCTTATCAAAGTGCGATCATGCTAATTTGTGTTACGATGATGACAGGTAGAGGCCATCTTAAAAAATAAATTGACGTAAACTATTTATTTGGAGAAAATATTTCCACTAGTATTTGAGTTGTTTTCAAGACGGACAGACATTACACATAAAAAGGTTCGACAAAACTTTAGATGCAATCTTGGCTCTGATCAAATGTCCAGTGTCATTTGAAACTACAGGGTAAAATTATGGTGATTCTTTAATGGAAATCAATGCACATGATCAACGAGGGTAAGATATGTGCAATGGTTTGGGATATAAATTTAAAATAGATGACAACCTTGAATGAATTTTTATCTTAATTCTCAATAATTTTTACTATCAACCCAGGCTACTGTGCATTAGCTGTTGACGAATAGTGGGAATTATATTATATAATTGCTGGAATTACACCATGCGTTTTAGAAAGGCGTGTTTCTAAAACTCTTTACTCGGCGGTAGGTTGTATAATAGCTGGGTTAGTCTTTACCTGTATGTTGTATTTTGTTTAACTTGAATCTTCTATAATTAAATGTTTGTTCTTAATAATTTCATTTTGTGACAGTAGGTTAAATGATAACTGATACTAAACCAATTGTTTTAGATAATCAGTCAAAGTGTATTATTTCATTGCATATATAGAGATTATCCTATATGAGGTTCAGGATAATGGGATTATCCCGAGGCCAATATAATATATCTGCTCGAGGGCCGAGGGATAATTCCAATATTCTGAACCGACTACAGGATAATATGTTTATCCCATACCAATCTTGGTTATCTGGTTCACATTGTTCAGTCGTGGAAATATTTTAGAATATTCATGTCCAGTTTTGTTTTCTTGGCCGTTGGTGGATTTTCCTGTTCCTGTAAGTTTGACTTACAGTCTAGTGTAGAACCTTGCCTAGATAATAACATCACTTTGTATGATCTCAGGGCTACAAATAATAAGAACATCAAGGAGACTGTGGCTCTGGAGCTGAGCTTTGTTAACTCTAACCTGCAAGTTCTCAAAGAGGAGATGGCAGAGTTGAATAGCACAATGGATGTTTACCAGAGTGGGGGGTAAGTTGTAAAATCTGATAAATGTCATTTTCATTGAATTGAGGAAGCATAAGTCTGATCATCACAATGCTTAATGCTTATGCGAACTAAATAATTCTAAAATTTCAAGGCAAAATATGCAAAATTGACCGAGTTATTCAACTTTCTTACGGTCCTGTTTTTTGGACACCCTGTATATATTCTCTTTTTCACATACTGCCCTGTCAAGATTATTTCATAAAACTAACTTGCATTCAAAATCCTTTACCTGGAAACCTCTGTCATTGTTAATCCATTTTGTGAACTGGTTGAAATAATTGTCTAACATATTGCAGAGGTGTATCCAGTGTACCAATGATCCCTATGGGCTTGAAGGAAACTAAAGATGTTGATATTGGACTCCCATTTCTGGTAAGTATACAGGCTGTTAAACCTTACAAGTTACAAATTAAGTAGTTGTTTACTGGCAAAAAGTGGCTCCATGCTATAGTATAAGAGCAATGATTTGACCAGTGTTCAGCTTTAGGACATTATATATTTTTGTGATTTTAGTTTTTTACTGTATGGATACACAATTTTTATGGATATAAGTAATTGTGTAATGCCATTTTTAATGTATCTTTGTTCCACTTTGGAACATAAGAATTGATTTTTTGGAAGAGAAATAATAAAAAATGAAGTTGGTGATTATCTCAGTTTCTTCTATACCCTTACAAAATGTTTCCTAGCTTTAAGTAAAAAATAAAGCTAAAATGATACCAGCTTTTTTGTTTGATTATGAAGCATAATCAAGTCATTGTCATTTTAATATAAGAATTTAAATTTATTTTGAGGCCTTCGGGTATGCAACCTCCTTAATTCAACTAAAACCTAATCCTACTAACCCTGAAAATAAACTTGGGAAGTAATGGTGAATACATACGGACATGTTTATTGATAGTTACCTATTCTAGACAATATGTGTTTCCATGGAAGTGTAGTAATGATTTTGTTGTCACAAATAGGCCAATAACTTTAGAAATAGTCAAGTAGATTTGAACCTCACATCAAAACTAGGTGGCAAATAGGGACATTCTATCATATAAATTGCCTTGTATTCATAGTACTTATCTAGTAGAAAGATACATATACAGGGTGGTCAAAAAAGGAAACTCTAATACCATTTTCCTCATATCCTTGTCATTTTAAGGAATAACTCCCTGATATTTTACACCTTTGTACATCATTCAATTTGCTACCAGCCTACTTTATTTCATGACAATCAGATAATCACAGTGTTTCAGTACTTTAAAGAACATGCCCTGTGGCCACTATTACATTGTGGGAAACCTGTATTCATCATCTAAAATGTCCCTACCTGTGGGGATATGGCAGAGATAGAGTATATGAGAATGACCTCAGGACAATTGCAAACCTCAAAAGTGAGATCATTTGTGTCATTCAGGCCATACCTGCTGAGGAATGCATTCGGGTCATTGACAACTGTGCTGTTTTGCCTACAGCGCGATGATGGCCAAATCTGAAGCATGTTATTCATAGTGCTGTAAAATTGTGACTATCAGTCTGATGGTCATGTAATATGGTAGGGTGGTTGGAAATTGAATGATGTACAAATGTGTGAAATATCAGGGAGTAATATTTTAAAGTGACAAAGATATAAGGAAAATGCAGGGTTTCCATTTTTTTGACCACCCATTTTTTTTGACCACCCTGTACTAGTATTATAATAGAAATGGTTAAATGCAATTATATATGGAACTTTTCAAAATCCCTTCTGGAAACTAGGCACAATAAAATTCCCTTTATTGGTCATAATACAAGTAAAGTACATGTAGTACTAACTCTTTACTGTACAATGTGCTTAACAACCTTGCTTAATTATTAGTCTTTGAAATATTGAATATTGGCTTCATTTTTAGGTGGGAATAGAGATGCACCAACCAGAACTAATACTAGTATAAATCAAACTGTATATAAACAAAATCCTGTAAGGGGTTATGTAATGGAAATTGTTATATTTTATCTGAGGAGGTATCTTTTCTAAAAATAAAAAAGTTATGTCTCTCCAGAGTACTGACTTGGTTTTTATCTTGCACAGCAGCCTTATTCTTCTACTCAAATGGTAGAATTATCAACTCTAAACTGGTACTCAGTCAATTCTCTAAATTATATAAGTCCTGGAATACAGTCTTTCAAAATGCTCAACCAGACAGATATTTTAGGTAGAATCATGCATTATATTCTTGCATTTCATCTTATGAAGAGGCAGTTGTTACATTCTTTACATAACACATGCACTCATTGATATCTCTCCCTGATTGTGGTTTGCAAGAGAGGAAGACAGCCTGTACATAACATTATCTCAAGTCATTTCCCTTTCATCCCATTTCTCTCTCTTTTTGAATGAAAAAATGAGGATAACTGTAAAAAGAATCATGTAAATCCCTGTTTACATGATTCACTTCTTATTCCCCACCATTGCTATTTGTTTTCTATTCTAAAGCATGCCCATCATGAGATTTTTCTCACTAGAAATCTATGATAAACTCTAAATGTTATCTTGAAAAAGCAAGTAGTATTGATAGATATGAGATATCTCATCCCAAATAAACACTAGCCCTCTCTAAAACAGGATTTCCATGGTATCCATAAAAGAGCTACTCAACTATATCAGTCTTGTTGAAGAGGCTACTTAAAGGAGTGTATGTGTATTGTGTGGAAATGCTTTCTATTTGGATTGTTCTTTTCAAATAGTTTTCAAAATCAACCTACTGCCTGTTTGAATTGATTTTGAAATGTATCTCAAAAAGTAGTTCTAAGATTTTATTCAGAGTAATTGTGCTATTGGATTTGGTCCAACTTTCATAGGCCAGTGCTTTTCAATGCTACTCGAGAAGGACTCTCTAATATGGCATCACATTATTACTACCACCTTGCGAGGTCTGTTCTCAGTTACTAGTTTAGAAGCCTTATTTTTTACTATATTAACTTGAGCAATAGGTGGAGCCATAGTGCCAGGCCATAGTGGTCATTATCCACCCTGCTCCAGGGCGAATAATGAGTTTGTACTAAGTTTTCAAGAGATCGTGGCCACAATTTTATTGTTGCCCGCTGAAATGAGGTTATTGTTTATATTGATGTAGATTTTCTTAAAAGGAGACAAGGCAATAGTACTGCCTGGTTATTTCTATCATATGATGTTCAGAATGATGAGTGATTTGATAAGATATGTTTCATTAGGTGGGATTTGCTACTCCAATGTTAAGGATGTAAAACTAAAAATAAAATATAATGAATCAGTAATAAAATGGGTAAATAAGATAGCTGTAGAAGGAAGGTTAAGTCATGAGAAATAGTACCAATCGAGAAATCCAAAATGTCTCAATAATTCTGCTGTTGAGACTTTGTTTGAGGCCATGCAAGCAAAGTTAAATATGGAAATTTCCTTTTATTTAAAATATTGACAGCCATTTTTGTATGTGATATAAACTGGAAAAGGTGTAATGGAAAAGAAGTAGAGAAATTTTGTTTGTTGATATTTAGAAGCATATTACACTGTTGAGCTAATGAAAATTTGGCTAATAGGTGGCCATTTTCAAAAACGGCAGCCATTTTTGTGAGTGGTTGATTGGATTTGCTACACCTTGACATTGCCGATCTCTAGTTAACCTCATTGTATTGCATTAGTTTTACTGCATTAATTAACCTAATTGTTTTGCATTAGTTCTACTGCATTAATTAACCTAATTGTTTTGCATTAGTTCTACTGCATTAATTAACCTAATTGTTTTGCATTAGTTCACCTAGTTTTACTGCATTATTTAACATAATTGTTTTGCATTATATTCTAATATCCTTTATTGATGTTGTTGCAGGACTATATCCAGGAACATTACAGTGAGGAGCCTAGAGACTATGCAGATGAAGTACAGGAGCTAGCCAGCATTAGACAGGTAGGAAATCACTGTTTCACTGGCAGCTAGACTATACTTGAACTGACTCTACTGTCAGCTAGAGTCTACCTGCCCTCACTCTACTGTCAGCTAGAGTCTACCTGCCCTCACTCTACTGGCAGCTAGACTCTACCTGCCCTCACTCTATTGGCAGCTAGACTATACCTGCCCTCACTCTACTGGCAGCTAGACTATACTTGCCCTCACTCTACTGGCAGCTAGACTGTACCTGCCCTCACTCTACTGTCACCTATACTCTACATGCCCTCACTCTACTGGCAGCTAGACTATACCTGCCCTCACTCTACTGTCAGCTAGAGTCTACCTTCCCTCACTCTACTGTCAACTAGAGTCTACCTGCCCTCACTCTACTGGCAGCTAGACTATACCTGCCCTCACTCTACTGTCAGCTAGAGTCTACCTTCCCTCACTCTACTGTCAACTAGAGTCTACCTGCCCTCCCTTAACTGGCAGCTACTCTAGCTGACCTCCCTTAACTTGCGGCTAAACTCTACATGCTCTCACTATGCTGGTTGTATGGAAACTCATTGCTGACTTAATTTTGTGATACTTACAAGTATTTATCACAGGTATTTATAGACCATCATTGCTTGATTTATAGCAAAAACATTGACTTGAGCGCACACTGGTGGTGTTGCACTTTTTAATTGATCTCTTATCTTATAAGCATCCCATTTTGCCCACCCTGTATGTTTTTTATTTTGGCACATATATGTTTTTTATTCTATTGATTCTTACCATACGGTAAACAGGTGTAGAGGGGTATAGGGTTGGCGATAAAATTCATTTTGTCCTTTCCAGTTATGTGGATAGTATTTCTAATAGAGGGTCTTTGACTCCATGCATTGTATAATCTGAAATTTTGAAAAAATGAGTATTATAATAATGCAAAGTAAATGTTTTAGGCAATCAGAACACCTCAAAGAAATCCATATGGCATTGAACTACTTTATGATTACTATAACCAGCTGTATTTCGTCGAGAAACGTTTCTTCCCTCCTGACAGAAGTCTTGGAGTCTACTTTGAGTGGTAAGTTGACAATGAACTATTTCCTCACTTTCAAACCAATTTCACATTAATCTTTTACTCACTTTTACCTCAGAATTTGGAATTGAAATTGTTTATACTGTATACTACTAGTATTATTTAATTAAGTAAATACATTTTGTTATGTCCTTTTGATACAGAAATCCTTACTTTATTTAGTTCCTTCATATATAAACTGAGTTAATGCATGTGTTTTCAGGTATGATTCATTAACAGGTGTACCCTCAGCACAGAGAACTGTTGGCTTTGAAAAAGGTGGCATTCTCTTCAACATAGGTGCCCTACACACACAGATTGCTTGCCAACAGGTACCAGAACCTATATATGTACAGAACCAAAACCTAATATGTTTATATTATTTTATGATTATGTTGTTAATATATATTTCATAATGGTTGTAGTAATACAAGAAATATATTTTCAAATCAATTTTTATTTTGACACTGACATGTTCAATAATTTCCAGGATCGTGCCAACAAAGATGGGATTAAGTCAGCAATCAATAACTTTGAGAAGGCAGCAGGTGCATTTAAATATCTCCATGACAACTTCAGCAATGCTCCTAGTATGGACATGCAACCCCAGACCTTGGCTATGCTTGTACAGCTGATGCTGGTAGGTAAACCCACTTGATTTAGTGGACAGCAACAGGAACATCCACCATAGAACATGTCTTCTGGTCATTTAGTTTGGTCATTCAGTTGCCATACAGTCCATGTACAGTCCCCCTTTGGCCACTTTGCGCCTGCCTTGGTAGTTGTCAAAAAAACCTACAGCTGCTGTAGACACCCCAAGGCCACAGAAAGTTAAATTTCAAAAGCTGCATGGCATCCGCATGTTTTCTCTCATCATGAATTCAAAATATGCCAAACGCCAATGCATAGCAAATGTGACTGCTGAAGTATGTGACCATAAAAATTTTACTGCAACTGTAGGATTGCTATTGGCCATAGAAATATAAGACCAATGCAGTAACCATAGCAAATGGGACTCAGGTATAAGTTGGGTTAATAAGAAGGTATTTAATTTTAGCTATTTTTTTTATATTTGACAGCTATTTAATTTTGGCAAGTTTGATTTCTGCATTTTCATTCATTGTTCCTTCAGTTTAGCTGAACAATCAATCAATTTTTTTTCTGAACCCAACTAAGTCTTTTAGTATTGGTAAGAAAATGATTTTTTCATTCTGAGGGTCAGTATTATAGATTTGATTTCCTAATAATATTTCACAAGATGAACTTCATCATTGTAGGTTCCGCATATTATATTATATATATTCTCCAAGGCTCTTTTGTCATTAATGTACAATGAGGATTTATGGTGACTAACTTTAAGACCTATAATGAAATGCTACTTGATTCCCCTGTGGAATATTGAGAATGGTGGGTGGTTCATTCTTTTTATGTGTGTTATATTTTTAGGCACAGACCCAGGAGTGTGTATTGGAGGAGCTTATTCTAGGTGGGGTTGGAGATGGTATAGAGAAACATTTGGAGGTTGCTCATGAAGCTGCCATGGTAACCAATTTCACTATAGTTTTCTTTACATGATGAACTTAATGACATCTATTCTGTTCAAACAAACACAAAAGCATTATGTAATGATATCAAATGGTTAATAGCATAAACCGAACTCTTGCAAAAGTGACAAAAATAGTAACCACATCTGATTTAATAGAAATGTATGCATTATTCTGCAACTATATAGTATAGTCTATATAGTATATCCATTAGTTTTTAATTGAAATGATGTACTGTTCTGTAGATGTCACAAATATCATTGTTCAGTGTTTCTGCAGGTATCACAGATATATGAAGAAGTGTTGTATTTCATTGTACAGTGTTTCTGCAGGTATCACAGATGTATGAAGAAGTTTTTGTATTTCATTGTTCAGTGTTAATGCAGGTATCACAGATATATGAAGAAGTGTTGTATTTCATTGTTCAGTGTTTCTGCAGGTATCACAGATGTATGAAGAAGTGTTATATTTCATTGTTCAGTGTTAATGCAGGTATCACAGATGTATGAAGAAGTGTTATATTTCATTGCACATTGTTTCTGCAGGTATCACAGATGTATGAAGAAGTGTTATATTTCATTGTTCAGTGTTAATGCAGGTATCACAGAAGTATGAGGAAGTGTTTTATTTCATTGTTCAGTGTTAATGCAGGTATCACAGAAGTATGAGGAAGTGTTTTATTTCATTGTTCAGTGTTTCTGCAGGTATCACAGATGTATGAAGAAGTGTTTTATTTCATTGTTCAGTGTTTCTGCAGGTATGAAGAAGTGTTTTATTTCATTGTTCAGAGTTTCTGCAGGTATCACAGATGTATGAAGAAGTGTTATATTTCATTGTTCAGTGTTAATGCAGGTATCACAGATGTATGAAGAAGTGTTTTATTTCATTGTTCAGTGTTTCTGCAGGTATCACAGATGTATGAAGAAGTGTTATATTTCATTGTTCAGTGTTTCTGCAGGTATCACAGATGTATGAAGAAGTGGTTTTATTTCATTGTTCAGTGTTTCTGCAGGTATCACAGATGTATGAAGAAGTGTTATATTTCATTGTTCAGTGTTTCTACAGGTATCACAGATGTATGAAGAAGTGTTATATTTCATTGTTCAGTGTTTCTGCAGGTATCACAGATGTATGAAGAAGTGTTATATTTCATTGTTCAGTGTTTCTGCAGGTATCACAGATGTATGAAGAAGTTTTTGTATTTCATTGTTCAGTGTTAATGCAGGTATCACAGATGTATGAGGAAGTGTTTTATTTCATTGTTCAGTGTTAATGCAGGTATCACAGATGTATGAAGTGTTTCTGCAGGTATCACAGATGTATGAAGAAGTGTTATATTTCATTGTACAGTGTTTCTGCAGGTATCACAGATGTATGAAGAAGTTTTTGTATTTCATTGTTCAGTGTTAATGCAGGTATCACAGATGTATGAAGTGTTTCTGCAGGTATCACAGATGTATGAAGAAGTGTTATATTTCATTGTTCAGTGTTTCTGCAGGTATCACAGATGTATGAAGAAGTGTTATATTTCATTGTTCAGTGTTTCTGCAGGTATCACAGATGTATGAAGAAGTGTTATATTTCATTGTACAGTGTTTCTGCAGGTATCACAGATGTATGAAAAAGTTTTTGTATTTCATTGTTCAGTGTTAATGCAGGTATCACAGATGTATGAGGAAGTGTTTTATTTAATTGTTCAGTGTTAATGCAGGTATCACAGATGTATGAAGTGTTTCTGCAGGTATCACAGATGTATGAAGAAGTTTTATATTTCATTGTTCAGTGTTTCTGCAGGTATCACAGATGTATGAAGAAGTGATATATTTCATTGTTCAGTGTTTCTACAGGTATCACAGATGTATGAAGAAGTGTTATATTTCATTGCACATTGTTTCTGCAGGTATCACATATGTATGAAGAAGTGTTATATTTCATTGTTCAGTGTTTCTGCAGGTATCACAGATGTATGAAGAAGTGTTATATTTCATTGTTCAGTGTTAATGCAGGTATCACAGATGTATGAAGAAGTGTTATATTTCATTGTTCAGTGTTAATGCAGGTATCACAGATGTATGAAGTGTTTCTGCAGGTATCACAGATGTATATAGAAGTGTTATATTTCATTGTTTCTACAGGTATCACAGATGTATGAAGAAGTGTTATATTTCATTGTTCAGTGTTTCTGCAGGTATCACAGATGTATGAAGAAGTGTTATATTTCATTGTACAGTGTTTCTGCAGGTATCACAGATGTATGAAAAAGTTTTTGTATTTCATTGTTCAGTGTTAATGCAGGTATCACAGATGTATGAGGAAGTGTTTTATTTAATTGTTCAGTGTTTCTGCAGGTATCACAGATGTATGAAGAAGTGTTATATTTCATTGTTCAGTGTTTCTGCAGGTATCACAGATGTATGAAGAAGTGTTTTATTTCATTTTTCAGTGATTCTGCAGGTATCACAGATGTATGAAGAAGTGTTATATTTCATTGTTCAGTGTTTCTGCAGGTATCACAGATGTATGAAGAAGTGTTTTATTTCATTTTTCAGTGATTCTGCAGGTATCACAGATGTATGAAGAAGTGTTATATTTCATTGTTCAGTGTTAATGCAGGTATCACAGATGTATGAAGAAGTGTTATATTTCATTGTTCAGTGATTCTGCAGGTATCAGAGATGTATGAAGAAGTGTTATATTTCATTGTTCAGTGTTAATGCAGGTATCACAGATGTATGAGGAAGTGTTTTATTTCATTGTTCAGTGTTTCTGCAGGTATCACAGATGTATGAAGAAGTGTTTTATTTAATTGTTCAGTGTTAATGCAGGTATCACAGATGTATGAAGTGTTTCTGCAGGTATCACAGATGTATGAAGAAGTGTTATATTTCATTGTTCAGTGTTTCTGCAGGTATCACAGATGTACGAAGAAGTGTTATATTTCATTGTTCAGTGTTTCTACAGGTATCACAGATGTACGAAGAAGTGTTTTATTTCATTTTTCAGTGTTTCTACAGGTATCACAGATGTATGAAGAAGTGTTATATTTCATTGTTCAGTGTTTCTGCAGGTATCACAGATGTACGAAGAAGTGTTATATTTCATTGTTCAGTGTTTCTGCAGGTATCACAGATGTATGAAGAAGTGTTTAATTTCATTGCACATTGTTTCTGCAGGTATCACAGATGTATGAAGAAGTGTTATATTTCATTGTTCAGTGTTTCTGCAGGTATCACAGATGTATGAAGAAGTGTTATATTTCATTGTTCAGTGTTTCTGCAGGTATCACAGATGTATGAAGAAGTGTTATATTTCATTGTTCAGTGTTTCTGCAGGTATCAGCGATGTATGAAGAAGTGTTATATTTCATTGTTCAGTGTTTCTGCAGGTATCACAGATGTATGAAGAAGTGTTTAATTTCATTGCACATTGTTTCTGCAGGTATCACAGATGTATGAAGAAGTGTTATATTTCATTGTTCAGTGTTTCTGCAGGTATCACAGATGTATGAAGAAGCTTACAAGCAGATGTCTCAAAAACCTGTCAAGGATTATGCCCCATTTCCTTGGACCTCCATGTGCCAGGTTAAGGCCCAACATTTTGGAGCAATGTCACACTACTACGCTGTCACAGGGCTGCTAGATCAAAAAGGTAGGCACAACCTCAGTCTTAAGAAGGATTTTCTCAAAATGACCTCCTTAAATGTTTTATTTTCTCTAAACATTATTTCTTTTATTTGATTAAAAGCATGTCTCTAGAAAACATTTCATGATTGTACAAATATTTATGTTAACTAAAGGGTGTCCCAAAAGTATGCCCCCCCCCCCCCCTAGGCAGATATATTCCAATGTCTCCTTATTATGTGTCATGTATTATTTTAAAGCTCATCCAAAGTGACATTGATTTCCCAAGTATCATGGTTCAACTCACAAATGGAAAAAAGTTACAGGCATTTCAAAATTAAGTGTTTGGCCAAAAATATAGTTCATTTCAGTATCTTGGTAACAGCCCTGATCTGAATGAGGCCGAAAATATGGATGCTATTGTCGAAGAAAGGATGGATATTGAGTTCTAAAAAGAGGATGTTGAGGGTAGATACTCCAAGGAAACTCTTCTAGAATGCCTTCAAAAGGTTTTATGAGGATTACAAAGTGCCACATCCCTATTTGAAGCTCGTTTAAAGTCATATATGGAAAGCATTGCTGCTGATTACATGGCCTAGGGAGACACACCGACTATTATTTTGGTGCAGAGGTGGCATTAACGCAATTTTTTACGTTTTTTACTCACATTTTTGCAACTCTGACGCAAATATTCATTGTCTACCGAGTCTTTCTGACGCACGTTTGTTTCACATGCAAAATCCCCGCTTGGTACTTGGTTAAATTGATCCCTATACGTGAAAATACGTGATTGATCAAATTTATAATTTTGCTAATTCCGGAAATCTAACATTTCGTTCAGCGTAATCGAGCCTCCTTCCTACCGATCATTTTCTCATTTCGGTATTTCATATAATTTTTAAAGCCCTGTGATTCAGATTCAATGATAAACTTGAAAACATTGATCGATCCCTCGATTTGTTTATCTCGTGAAGCACGTTGCTAGGGGGCATATCAAAAATGCAATAAAACGAACATAACATTGAACAATAATTTATTAATTTCATACTCCCTTCTAAGGATTTTAGTGATCGTATATTTATCTAAATTACCGCATAAAATCTTCCCTTGAATGTTCACACGCTAGATTTACGAACCTTTAGTCTCCTTCGCAAGTTCGCAAAATTCCTTCGCTAAGTTCCTTGAGCCGTCCCCTTCATCAGCATGCGCAGATGTAATGCGCAGTAGGTTTCTCAATGGTTCTCACAGTGACCGATCTATCGTAAGTTTTCACCAAGTATTTTCAATTAACTCCCTCAAGTTAAGATCTTCGATTCACTAGATCTGAAGCTGATCCTATGAAGATAGATAATGGGCACATGAAAATCCAGTCGATCGCACATTAAGGGGGGTAATGATGATAAATTAGGTATGAAAACAAATCTACTTTCGGTTTCATTTGATCAGCTATAATTACAAGATTCTACCGTATTCAATTTAAATGATGCCCAGTATTGTGGTCGGACTTATATTGCCGTTTTAGACTTTGGAATGATTGCAAAAATGTTGAATTTCAACATGAAACGCTTTGACCCCAATTTGTGTAACTCCACACAGGTAGAAACTCCTCTCCCACTCCATTCACACCCATGACTCGCTGGACCAGATAATCAGATGATTAATAGTGACATTTTTCTTGCAATTGCCTAATTAATTAATTGTTAGTTGTTAATGTGCTATAAGAGTACAATAAAAGGTATGCACAAAATCAAAAAATAGATTTTGTATGTGGTTTCTACATTTTGTATGAATTTTTATTCAAGAAAAACACTTTTATAGCTTTGACTCAACTTTTTTTCTTGTGACTCACTTTTTTGAAACTACCTGAGTCATGATGACTCACAAAAATATATGCCTACCGCCACCGCTGTGGTGTGAAACTGACTTTAATTTCAGCCAAACACTAAATTTTGAAATGTCTATAACTTTTTCCCATTTGTGAGTTGAACCATGATACAGGGTGTTCAAAAAAACGCAAACCAAAGAAATCGCTATATCTTGTAAAATACTAATCCAATTAGGTTCATATTTTCAGGAAAGAAAGAAGAGACTGTGTATGTTTAGCCCCTGTTGTTAGTTAGTTGTAAAACACGATGTCTTGGACACTTGCTCAAAAGACAGTTGTACTAGCAAAATACAAAAAACGCGGATAAAAAATCACTATATCATGGAAAATACTAATTCAATTATTTTCATTCTTTCAGGAAAAGAAAGAAGAGACTGTGTTTGTATAGCTCCTGTTGTCAGTAAGTTGTAAAACATGCCTTGGACACCAGCATTTGACTGCGATTTGAAAGCATTTCAACCATGACTGTAAAGTCCCTGAAGTAATTTTGATTTCACTCTACAGATTTATTATTCAGTGGATGAAGATGATTTGTGCCAAATTTGAAGAGCCAAAACACTATGGTTAGGAAGTTATTTAATTTTTTGCAGTTGCAGTCACCCCTGACTTCGTTTTTCGTATTTTCCTAGTACAACTGTCTTTTGAGCAGGTGTCCAAGGCATCGTGTTTTACAACTAACCATTTACAGGAGCTATACATACACAGTCTCTTCTTTATTTCCTGAAAGTATGAACATAATTGAACCAGCATTTTTCAAGATATAGCGATTTCTTTGGATTGCGATTTTTTTGAACACCCTGTACTTGGTAGATCAATGTAACTTTGTATGAGCTTTAAAATTATATATGACACATACTATGGAGACATTGGTATATGTCTACCTAGGGGGGGGCCATACTTTCGGGACACCCTGTACATGCAAGAATGACATATACATCTATGGTGGCCATTTTAAGACATGATTTGAGAACCGTTGTCAGACACTCATTACTGTTATATATTTATAGGTTAGATGGAATTTACTATGCCTTGGCGTTGCTTTAGTTTTCTATTTAATTCTGGAAATGATTATTGGATTTATCAACTAGTCATGCCAGAATGTGAGAAATGTTACAATCAATTGCATTGTATAGTATTTACAGAATGCTATTATGTTGTATGACATCATACCCATCTCCAACAAAGACTATTTCCATGTGCATAGCCATTTTACGTGGATTATTTTATGTGTTTTTTTTACTATATCTCGAAAAGTAGCGGAGCCATTTTCTTCATATTTGATGTGAACACTACCGTATAAGCATGGCACACTGTCCAATGACACTTTGGGGAGTACGTGGCCATTATGAAAAGTGGCTACCATTTAAATATGTTATTTTACGTTTCTAACTATAACTAAAAAAGTAATAGAGTGATTTGTTCATATTTGATATGTGAATACTCATAAGGATGGTACACTGTCTTATGACATTTTGGCTAGTAGGCAGCCATTTTGAAAAATTTACATGTATGTGTCCGCGGTTTTGTTGAAATTTTATATTTGCCTACTTAAAAGCATATTACACTTTCTGATGACAATTTGCAATTTGAAAATGGTGGCCATTTTTATGTGTGTATTTTAACATTTTTGCTATACACTTCATTTGCAACACTTTGTCGTTGCTGTTGTATAAGTTTGTGCATGAATTTTATTATTTCACTTGAAATGAAATGCATCTTAATATTGTATTGCAGACAGTAATGATGTTCACCTGCTAGAGAAGCTGTTTGGCAAGCTACATGTGGAGGAAAATGAAAACACGTCAATGCTTTCCAGAGTGCCTTCAGATGAGGATGATAAAAAACAATTAGGTAGTTTGGAAAAGATACAACAGATTTGCAATTTAAAAACTACAATAATTGAAATATATGCTTGAAATGACTCCTGGGGATGTGGAATTAGCACTTCTGAGATACAAAGAATAGCAAAAACACAAATTTAAGATCAGCACTCTTTCAAGGAATAAGCATTAAGATATCCTGAATATCGTGGAAAATGAAGATAAAGAATCATGTTCAATCTGATGAGTGGCAAGCAATGAGTTAGTGTTAGGCATTCAGGATGAAAAATCTATATAGATTACAGGATCACCCAACATGTAAAGCAAGTACAAGTGCATAATTGTAAAACTGTATGTCTTATGCAATGTATTTACAGCTCGTGCTCACCTTAAAGATGCTCTGTTGTTACATGAAGAGGCCTTAAAACATCATGACAGATGTAAACATCTGAGAAAGATAGACACATTCCAGGAAGTTCTTAAGCATGCCCATGATAGGTAAATCATTCTCGGGGTTTCTTAAGCATCTCTTGGCAAGCAATGAAGTCATCATATTTTCGTATTTACCTTTCTCTGAAACATGCACTTCAACAGTAGATCTTCCTTGGCCTTTTTCTGAAGCGTGCAAAATATTGATAAGCTTATATTATGTTAGTTCGAGTCTTTGCATGATGCAGTGGTCATGGTCATTATTGAAGGTCACATCATATTATATTTTGAATGCAAAGTATTCAAAAACTTGTTAATGAATGAGTACTTCAGTTATAATAGATACTAGAGAGAAGTTATACATATATTGCTTACATATTATTGGATTTATTGACTCATATGATTGTTTGCCAGGTCATTGAAGAAGTTTTCTGACCTTGAAGAAGAAGATGATTTCACAGAGGTCAGCAGTTCACCCAGCATTAAATGTAAGTCACCCCTGTATCATCCAACATCAAATATAACTCACCCTCCATCACCCTTACATAAGAGTAATTTTATGTACTGTAAAATGTAATCTTTGAAAACTCCCAGTTTGGTTCAAATTTTATATGCTGATCTCTTGGGAACATAAGACCTTATCTCAAGAAGATATTTCCAAGATGCCCACTGAATTTAAAATGATGGCCATTTTCATGATAACCCTAATACTCAGTTACCATATTTTGTCCAAATTATATATGTAATGTCTTATTGGAATGGGGCCTCTATTTAACCCTTATCCTCCCGACTAAAATGGCAAAAAGTGCAATTGTGTCCATTTCTGAAAGCTTACAATCAAGGTTGAAATAATTACTTTTCAATTTTTATTTTATTTTAAATCGATCGAGAAGACCAATTCAAACACACATTTCACCTAGTTTCTTTGCTATCATCCCCGTGTGTCATACTTCACCTGTTCCAAATGTGCTTTAGTTTCTTCTGAACTGCCATTTTTCTATCAATTCATCAGTATTGTGGTCATATAAACAGCTTTAGTTGCAAGAAAATCGATCTGTACTTTTTTTGCACAGTACCTATGCACAAGAAGGAATGTGAATTGAAAAAAATGTAATTGCATTTTTTTTATTCTAGCTAAGACAGCTCAACATGCAAAAGTAATTATGCCAGACTTTGCCAGATATAAAGTTACAGATCTATTCCATAAACTGGTATGTATAGTGCACCAATGCATCATCATCATTAATAGTAATACTAATAGTTATTATGTAGTTTTTTTTACATGTAAATGTCTTCTTTTTCCTTCCTTTATAATTGTTATAATTTTTGTTTGTACATGTACCCCAAGGGGTGTGAATGTACTTGAAGAATAAATAAATAAATATGTATATACACTGTACATTTTTATCACACTACCTGTCCATATGATGTTTGTGGGATTTTGCTTGAGCTGGTGTTCCACTTTTTTACCCTCGCAATTCCAGGGAAATAACTAGCTAGAATTTCTTCAAATACAATTCAAACTCCCATATTGGAGTGTATCAAGTAAACCATTCCACCCGCTATGGCTCAGTGGCAGAGTCAAGGTTACCAATATCGCTTGGCCCCGGGTTCGATTCCCGGTTCAGACAAGTTTGTTTGTGTTATGTACTTCTGGGTGTTTGACTGAGTGGTTCACGACTCGTATAAAAGGCTGTGGTGTGTACCTGTATATCTGTGAACCTGTGCACACAAAAGAACACAGGGCTCCTCCAAGGAGGGGTTTCTTGCTCTATCTTCGCGCCTCTATCTTCGCGTGTAAAATACGTAAAATACGGAATATACCAATGAAGTATTGCTCGCCAAATGTGGCGGTAACCACAATATAATAATAATAATAATATTTATTATACTCAAATGAAAGACAATTTAGAGTAAATTGCAAATATTGTATCATTTTTTGATTCGCAATAATTTTCTGATCTCTGAAGGCTATGGATTGAAGGCTCAGATTGAAGGTATTTTAGAGTAGATCACAATAATTGTTTTCTGTTTTTTGCAAAAATTCAAAATAGCTGCCCTGAGCAGGAAATCACTATTTCTTAAAGATCTCTTCAAAATATTGTTACATTATACTGCATTAGATCTCAAATATTGAATTGTCTAATATTGAATTGTCTAATATCTCAATTGTATGTCTTTTAATATCTGCCAATTTAATCAAGGGTAGAATAGATGGTTAATATTACATTGTGACATATACAGATTCATGAATATTATCCTTCATTGGGATTTGCTTCTCAATGGAGTTGCCGATATCTTCCGATGAGTTGTCTTGGAATGAGATATTTGGAATGTGCTGTCTTGGGATTAGATATCTTGGGGATGAGTTGTTGTGTTACTCTGACTGCTTTATAAAACTGCCAGGTATATAGGATAAAAGGCATAAAACCTGCCATAATTTCTGTATAAACACTCATATCTTATATTTTGAAAAGAAGTATTAAGACATTGTTCCATTTCAGGGGCCTGTTGCAATATTTTCTGCCAAGCATGAGTGGTCATCTCCACGTGATGTTAGCATGCAGAAGTCTAGTAAACAGGGCTATGGGTTCAGTGTACGTGGGGATTCCCCTGTCATTGTAGCTCAAGTAGACCAGGCAAGTTTAGCTCAGGTAAGTAGAAACAAGAACACAAATGTGTACAAAATGTCCCCACCAATGGGTGATCCCGTCAAATGGTTATCCTGAAAATGAGTATAGACAAGACTTTACCAACACAATTTGAGGACGGAAAATCAAAAATGGCCACCTTAAAATTTACCCATAATGCTAAAAGTTTTGTCAGTTCTAGATTTTCATACTAAGAACCACCCCTGAAAATTTGAAATTGATCCGTCACACAGTTAACCAGAAAACATGTAAACAAGACTTTACAGACAAGATTTTAGGATGGAAAATCCAAAATGGCTGCCTTGACATTTACCCAGAATGTCAAAAAATTAATCTGTTTCTAGATTTTCATACTAAAAATCATCCATGAAAATATGAAATTGATCTACCTAACGGTTCACCTGAAAATGCGTAGACAAGACTTTACAGACAAGATTTTAGGACAGAAAATCCAAAATGGCTGCCTTGACATTTGCGCAGAATGCAAAAAAACTAATCAGATGTAGATTTTCATACTAAGAATCATCCCTGAAAATTTGAAATTGATTTACAGAACGGTTCACCTGGAAATGTGTAGACAAGACTTTAAAGACAAGATTTTAGGACGGAAAATCCAAAATGGCTGCCTTGACATTTACCCAGGATGCCAAAAAACTAATCAGATCTAGATTTTCATCCTAAGAATCATCCCTGAAAATTTGAAATTGATCTACCAAACGGTTCATCTGAAAACGCGTAGACAAGACTTTACAGACAAGATTTTAGGACGGAAAATCCAAAATGGCTGCCTTGACATTTACCCAGAATGCCAAAAAACTAATCAGTTTTAGATTTTCATACTAAAAATCATCCCTGAAAATTTGAAATTGATCTACCAAACGGTTCACCTGAAAACGCGTAGACAAGACTTTGCAGACAAGATTTTAGGACGGAAAATCCAAAATGGCTGACTTGACATTTACCCAGAATGCCAAAAAACTAATCAGATCTAGATTTTTATACTGAGAATCATCCCTGAAAATTTGAAATTGATCCACCAAACCGTTCACCTGAAAACGCGCAGACAAGACTTCACAGACAAGATTTTAGGATGGGAAAATCCAAAATGGCCGACAATAAAAAAGTGATTATGAGTTTTTGCTGATTTCTTTTTACAAAATTATCACAAGTAACTACTGTTAAGAACAACATAGGCTTTTACAAGAAAGTACATCTGAAATTATTTATAAAGCTACTAAATAGTTAAAGTATGAAAACTCAAAAACACCATTTAATATGATACAAAGTATTATCGCGCGCTAACTTTTCTTAAGACATTCAAAATGGCTGACATGACTGAGCTAACAGGTCCAAAACCTAATCAGATGTATAATGAAGTGAGCTGAACAAGATGTTAAAGTTTTAAAAGCAACTGTGAAGCCGTTTTTCTTAAAGTTTGCAGACAAGGATTTTAGCATTTGACTTCAAAATGGCCGACAGGAAGTAGGTTTCGAGTTAATTTTTTTTCATCCACATCTATATGCACTCATAAGTTATCCATAAAAATTTGAAGGTGATATCTGTAGTGGTTTTTGGAGAAAACTCCCGGACGGATGGACAGACGGACGGACAGACGGATGCGCCTAAGCCGACAATATGGCCCCACACTATGTGGTGGGGACATAAAAAGGAACCACAACAAGAATGCCATTTCACACAGATCATGTTCATGCAGTGATATTTTTGTTTTTAAGTATCTTCACATTCTTTGTTCTACATCATTCTGGAGACCATGTACTATTCTTTATATTAATTTCATCTCAAATAACTGTACACAAAATGTGTAGATGTCAAATTTTATTAGTCACCATATATTTCTTTGCATTCTCTACATTTTGAAATTAATCTCATACACAAATAGTAATCAAACTGATCTCAGTTTTCCAAAACCCACCAATGTTCTTATGCTTGCAAAACTCACCAGTGTTCTTATGCTAACAAAACCTACCAGTGTTCTTATGCTTATAAAACCCACCAGTGTTCTTATGCTTACAAAACCTACCAGTGTACTTAGGCTTACAATGCCAGCCAGTGTTCTTATGCTTATAAAACCAGCCAGTGTTCTTATTCTTAACAAAACTTACCAGTGTTCTTATGCTTACAAAACCTACCAATGTTCTTATGCTTACAAAACCTACCAGTGTTCTTATGCTTATAAAACCCACCAGTGTTCTTATGCTTACAAAACTCACCAGTGTTCTTATGCTAACAAAACCTACCAGTGTTCTTATGCTTACAAAACCTACCAGGGTTCTTATGCTTACAATACCAGCCAGTGTTCTTATGCTTAACAAAACTTACCAGTGTTCTTATGCTTACAAAACCTACCAATGTTCTTATGCTTACAAAACCTACCAGTGTTCTTATGCTTATAAAACCCACCAGTGTTCTTATGCTAACAAAACCTACCAGTGTTCTAATGCTTACAAAACCTACCAATGTTCTTATGCTTACAATACCAGCCAGTGTTCTTATGCTTATAAAACCAGCCAGTGTTCTTGTGCTTACAAAACCTACCAGTGTTCTTATGCTTACAAAACCTACCAGTGTTTTTGTGCCTACAAAACCTACCAGTGTTCTTATGCCTACAAAACCCACCAGTGTTCTTATGCTTATAAAACCCACCAGTGTTCTTATGCTTACAAAACCCACCAGTGTTCTTATGCTTACAAAACTCACCAGTGTTCTTATGCTTACAAAACCTACCAGTGTTCTTGTGCTTACAAAACCCACCAGTGTTCTGTTCTTATGCTTACAAAACCCACCAATGTTCTTGTGCTTACAAAACCCACCAATGTTCTTGTGCTTACAAAACCTACCAGTGTTCTTATGCTTACAAAACCTACCAGTGTTTTTGTGCCTACAAAACCTACCAGTGTTCTTATGCCTACAAAACCCGCCAGTGTTCCTATGCTTATAAAACCCACCAGTGTTCTTATGCTTATAAAACCCACCAGTGTTCTTATGCTTACAAAACCCACCAGTGTTCTTATGCTTATAAAACCCAGCAGTGTTCTTGTGCTTACAAAACCCACCAGTGTTCTTATGCTTACAAAACCTACCAGTGTTCTTATGCTAACAAAACCTACCAGTGTTCTTGTGCTTACAAAACCGACCAGTGTTCTTATGCTTACAAAACCTACCAGTGTTCTTGTGCTTACAAAACCGACCAGTGTTCTTATGCTTACAAAACCTACCAGTGTTCTTATGCTTGCAAAACCCACCAATGTTCTTGTGCTTACAAAACCTACCAGTGTTCTTATGCTTATAAAACCTACCAGTGTTCTTGTGCTTACAAAACCTGCCAGTGTTCTTATGCTTACAAAACCTACCAGTGTTCTTATGCTTACAAAACTCACTGAGTGTTCTTATGCTTACAAAACCTACCAGTGTTCTTATGCTTACAAAACTCACCAGTGTTCTTATGCTTACAAAACCTTATTGGATCCTCAATAAAAGTTAATGTATATTTTAATTTCAGCCAACCTATTACTGACCTGCAATTTCCCTTGAATTATCATCCCAGACTCATGTTCCAATTTAATTTTAAATTAATTGAATGATATTCTTTCAGAATGCTGGAATGAAAATTGGAGATTTTATAATTGGAGTGAATGGACAAGACACAAAGTGGTCAAAACATGAAGATGTTGTGACTCTTATCAAGGAAAGCGGCAATTCTATTTCTGTGAAACTAATTACACCACGAGACAGGAACTATTTAGAACCTCATAGAACACCATGTTCACGAGCAGGGAGTACATGTTCTGATAGCAGTTTTAATATCCCTTCAACCTCGGCAAGTCCGTCTAATACACTTTCAAGTACGAAAAGTGGGAACAAAAGATCCAAAAAAGGAGAAAGTGGAAAAAATAGCAGTAGTTGGCTGTTTAAGAAAAAATCTCCCAAAAGAGAAACTGATGAAATGGAGAAAGTGAAATATTGATCAATTGCTGATTTAAAGAGTTGTATCCAAGATGAAAAGGATGAGTCAGGAAATATGCACTTTGTGTCCCTTACTTTTTTATGGCAATCTCATTTAAATATGAATGGAATGTTGATATGTACAATTCATATTTAAATGAGTCGGCCATTAAAAGTGGATTAAACCATCACCCTGCAGTTGAATTCACAAATGCTTCCTTACTTCCCCTTTCATTCTTGCCTTATGGGAGATTACTTCCCCTTGATTGTCCATTCTTGCTTCATGGGAGATTACTTCCCCTAGATTGTCCATTCTTGCCTCATGGGAGCTCCCTGTAGTTTACTTTTCCCTTAATATTTCCTTCTTGCTAGCTTAACCTAATAAAAATGCAAATCCATTCTGGATACAACAGTTGAAATCCATTGTTTCAAGTTGACAAAGTGAACATTTGAGAAGCTTCAATAATACAAGAATGATATATTTCAGTTACCATCTTGGATACAAATCTCTCATGTTTTAATATTTTGAGATTATATTTTCAAAGTTATTAGAATACATTGTATTGGTATTCTAGCCTTATCACAAGTAACTTTCAATTGTGATAATATCTTTAAAATAGGACATTATCTATTATGTTTACAAGAAACAATGTAAACCAAAGAAGCCATGTATTGTAGTTATCACAGTGCTCTACTTGCTCTTTGGTATCATCATGTTCAAACTTGTGTCTGAGGTCTGTAAGCTGTGGCAAGTTCAAACTTGTATCTGAAGTCTGTAAGCTGTGGCAAGTTCAAACTTGTATCTGAAGTCTGTAAGCTGTGGCAAGTTCAAACTTGTGTCTGAGGTCTGTAAGCTGTGGCAAGTTCAAACTTGTGTCTGAGGTCTGTAAGCTGTGGCAAGTTCAAACTTGTGTCTGAGGTCTGTAAGCTGTGGCAAGTTCAAACTTGTGTCTGAGGTCTGTAAGCTGTGGCAAGTTCAAACTTGTGTCTGAGGCCTGTAAGCTGTGGCAAGTTCAAACTTGTGTCTGAGGTCTGTAAGCTGTGGCAAGTTCAAACTTGTATCTGAAGTCTGTAAGCTGTGGCAAGTTCAAACTTGTATCTGAAGTCTGTAAGCTGTGGCAAGTTCAAACTTGTATCTGAAGTCTGTAAGCTGTGGCAAGTTCAAACTTGTATCTGAAGTCTGTAAGCTGTGGCAAGTTCAAACTTGTATCTGAAGTCTGTAAGCTGTGGCAAGTTCAAACTTGTATCTGAAGTCTGTAAGCTGTGGCAAGTTCAAACTTGTATCTGAAGTCTGTAAGCTGTGGCAAAATCAAACTTGTATCTGAAGTCTGTAAGCTGTGGCAAGTTCAAACTTGTATCTGAAGTCTGTATGCTGTGGCAAGTTCAAACTGTGAATGAATATCTATCACTCATATCATCATAGAGTAGGGAAATCATAAATATAACATGAACCCTAAATGCTGCTTAATGTTCTTCTAACATGGAAGTCTAATTTCACATAATTATCCCATTGAACGAAGTTCGGAGGGATATAGTGAATGCCTCCGTCTGTCCGTCCATCCATCTGTACATCTCCGTCTGGGCAATAATTCAAATACCGTTGGTCCGATTTTGTTCATATTTTGTGAACATATACCTTATGGAAATATAAGTTCTGCTTGAAAGCCAATTTTCAAAATGGCCGCTCATTCAAAAACGGCGGCCATTTTAATGCCGATTTTACAGTAATTTAGGTACAATATGTAAAACTGTAATAGCAATATGTTTAAAATGTAAAAAAAATATATAGGACATTAATAAAGCTAGAAATGTAGATCTTAAAGAAGCACATGGCAGCCATCTTGAAAAATGGCGGCCTTATCTCCTATTACGATTTTTGCTGTAACTTGAAAAGTAGTGGAGCCATCCACTCCCCCCTCCATCCAATATTAATTTATTTTGATTATTTTTTGTATAACGCATGGAAACTAACTTTAGAAAGTGAGCAATGTCATTATTATTGTGATAATAACGTCCCTTATACCTATTTATTACAGGTCGTGTAGACCATTTTTGCCCGATTTATAGCAAAAACATTGACTTTTGCACGTTGGTGATGATGCGCCTTTTTTTTTAATAGATCTCATATCTTAAAAGGGTATCAGTTCAAAAAAAATACTAGATGACCTAACATATTTTGCCATGCACTGAGCTTATTCATTTGGCAATTCAGTTATAAATTTTCTCTTGAAAAAATAAATCTTCCAATTTTGTTTAGTTTTCTTGCAGAAATCGCCTAATCTCCCCTCCATCCATTTTGTACGATCACTGGGCGTGGGCGTGATATAAGTATGTGACATAAGTGGATGTTATGTTTGAGTCATATTGTGTGATATGTATACACCTTGTGCAATATTGAAGTTCAACAGTTTTGAAGATATATCAGAAAATCACCATTCCCATCAAATTGCAGATTTCTTGTGACCAAAATCTGTATACAAGTCTGCTGGTGGAGTTAAAGTGGCATAAATTGTATGTTAAAATATGTTTATATCAAATAAACTTCAGTTTTTAGTGTACTGGTACTAAAGTTGAGATGTTGTATCACTTACTTACATACTGATCAAATATCATTTTAATAATTGTCTCAACTGCTAATTGCAATTCTACAATGGCTGTAAGTAATAGATAACCCTTGTCATATTTGCATCTTTTTGATTTACCTTTTTGATTGGTATAATGGAGGCAAGTTGCATATCTGAGTAAATACATCCATGGTGTTCTTTGGATTGTTCAATTTGTTGGATTTGTTCAACATTTGGGCAAATTGCCATCTATTTTTGGCAGATTTTGATTCATTATTTGAAATGAATCGGTAGCCTAGACTTTGATTACAGTACACAATTTTCTTTTATATAATATATACATTGTTCTCTCTATATAAAGTAAGAGTTCAGTCATAGCCAAATACAATGTACAACCTCAAGACATGAAAAGCTTCAATCATGTCATGAATAAGTAACAGCTATTCCTTGTGAAATAATTAACACATGACAAGATTGTAAAATACAATTTAAATTTACATACTGTAGAAATCAAGTAACAGTAACAGCATTATATATGTATTTTAATTAAAATTAAAGAAAGTTCAATATTTCGGAATGTAATTCAATAGCATCTGAAAAGATTATGTATGTTCAATAGAATCAATATGTATTATTTATTTTAATATGAAATTCAGAAATATAAACATATATATTTGAATACTGACTCTAAATGTTGAATTTTATGGGTTCTGAAAAAATATTAGCATTTTAAAAGTAAAGCTTTTTGTCTCTTTTATGCCTTGGTCACATTTCCTCCGATTTTCACTGGCGCCCAGCCGATTGAGTATTTTGTTCAAAATTGAATACAATATTGAACAAAACACTCAATCGGCCAGGCGGCGGCCGATGGATCGGAGCAAATGTGACACAGGCAATACAAGTAACAATTTATGTCAGATACTCCTTTTGAAAAAGTGCAAAAATATTTCTTGTGATGATGAACATTTATTTATTGCTCTTTGACTGATGGAAATTAATGTTCACTGAATGGTCAAAAAACTGTTATGATCATGTTGTTGAGAAACAAAATCAACAAGATTTTGTAAAAATACTTCAAAAACAAAATGTTATTTTCTAGTGTAAATGAACGATATATTGTTATTTTACATCAAGAAATATAGTACCAACAAAAGGTTCTAAAAACCAAGCCCAATGTCCTGTTTAAGAAAATGAAAATGGATTATTACCACCTTGCCGGGCCAGTTCTAGGGGTTTTAGGGGTTTAGAAGGCATTCATTTTATTTTACTATATCGACCTGAGCAATATTTGACGTCATAGTGGCGGTCAATATAGACCGGTCGAGAATGATACGAATTATATATCGTTTAGTGCGTAAGATCTTCTTGCTGTTTCAGTCCTGGTCATTAAAGCCTTCGGCCCTCGGTCCAATATTAAGCAAATATTTCATTCCTTGTTTAAATAACACAGTCTAGTATGAAATTGAATGGTGTACATGTGTGCCAAATATCAAGGCAAAATTTCTAAAAATCACAAAGATATGAGGAAAAATTAGGGTTGCCGAATTATATATCGTTCAGTGCGTAAGATCTTCTTGCTGTTTCAGTCCTGGTCATTAACGCCTTCGGCCCTCGGTCCAATATTAAGCAAATATTTCATTCCTTGTTTAAATAACACAGTCTAGTATGAAATTGAATGATGTACATGTGTGCCAAATATCAGGGCAAAATTTCTAAAAATCACAAAGATATGAGGAAAAATTAGGGTTGCCGTTTTTTTGACCACCCTGTACTAGGAGACTCGAGACTTAGATCAATTGTTTCCAAAACAAGGGCACAACACGGTCCCGTTTAGACCGTTCCGTATTAGTGGTTGTGTTGACATTAATACGGAATAAATCATACCATTTCATAAATTTTTAAATCTAAATCTGTTGAAACCGATTTCACTTGCTAGCGACAGATACTTTACTCTCACGAACCGAACATGTCAGTTTGGTTCGTAATATCTCCAAATAAACGATTTCAACATTTTAAAAAACTCGATCGGTTTCCAAGTGTTAACGGAATGGGTGTTAAATCGTATACATTCCCAGGGAAATCACAATTTCCATAAAACTTGCAATGATAGTTGTTCTGATAATAATAATAATAAATGGCTTTTGTTATCGTTTTGTTATATCGTTTCAAATGACTTACCTTCATTAATAAAGTTCCCTAAATAATTGCTATCATATTTAAATACGTGAAAAGTGCTGGTTTCTATTAAATACAATTCACATTTAATTGAGTTAGCCATAAAGAAGGAGTAGAGTTATATGCATTCAGCCGATTCACCCTGGGTATAGTCTGTCACGTGACTTCATGGATGACGTGTGCGCGAGTGATTCGCATTTTCTTTCGCTTGGGGTTTGTAATCACACTTTTTACATGTTTTAAGATTTTGTATCTCTGTGAAACTTGTCCCGTACCATCAATGTCTAAAGACGATCTAATTCACCAAATATCTCATCCAAGCGTGTCCCGGTTAAAGAGAAATTCGCACTTTTGTGTCTCGCAAAATGACGTGTGCGCGAGTAAATCGAATTTTACGAAGGATGGGTGCGCGAGTCTAACATATTTATATTCATTTTAAACAATTCTGCATTTGTTACACGTCTTGCACCTGAACGCTTCCGTCAATCCACATCCTGACGCATGGCGTCGAAGACTTTTGAGATGTTGGAATGTTTTTTGACAGTTATCACATGTATATGGAAGTCGCTGTCCATGGCTAATCATATGATCATTAAGATCCTCGATTCTCCTAAATGACATATCGCATTGAGAACATTGTTTTACATCAATACCATGTTTGCTTGCGCGGTGATATCTTAAGCCTGATTGGCTTTTGTATTCTGCACCACATATATCACATAAGTATTCTTGAGGAGTTCTGTCTTGTGGTTTCTTAATTGGCGTCGATGTAAGAACAACTTCATGGCTCACATTAAATGAGTCATCGAAAAATGAGCCATCTAGACTTCTGACAGTAGTTTCTAAACCACTCGTGCTTGGGCTATCCATATTAAATACCTGAAACTAATAATAACAAGTGAAATGTATAAACAGTTACAAAAACAATTTCCTTATGAGTCGTTTCATGAAATTGTTCTAGAATTGTAATAAATACTACGAGGCATTAACATGACAAAATGTCACTACCTAGTTGCTCACAATATTATGAGTTCAAACTTAAGTCAGATTTGAATTTCTGAGAACTTGTAAAGTCAAATTTGAACTTCTGAAAAGATGTAGATGATTTTGAAAAAAAAATTTGGTCAATTTGAAGCAAGTTGAAAACAGACCTTTTTGACCTTTTTTGACCTTGAGAAGGTCATTAAAGGTCAAATGTCAAATCTAAAGTCAGATTTGAATTTCTGAGAACATGTAGATGATTTTGAAAATTTTTTTTAGTCAATTTGAAGCAAGTTGAAAAAAGACCTTTTTGACCTTTTTTGACTTTGAGAAGGTCATTGAAGGTCAAATGTCAAATCTAAAGTCAAATCTAAAGTCAGATTTGAATTTCTGAGAACACGTAGATGATTTTGAAAATTTTTTTTAGTCAATTTGAAGCAAGTTGAAAACAGACCTTTTTTACCTTTTTTGACCTTGAGAAGGTCATTGAAGGTCAAATGTCAAAACTTAAGTCAGATTTGAATTTCTGAGAACACGTAGATGATTTTGAAAAAAAAATTTAGTCAATTTGAAGCAAGTTGAAAACAGACCTTTTTGACCTTTTTTGACCTTGAGAAGGTCATTGAAGGTCAAATGTCAAATCTAAAGTCAGATTTGAAGGTCAAATGTCAAATCTAAAGTCAGATTTGAATTTCTGAGAACATGTAGATGATTTTGAAAAAAAATTTAGTCAATGTGAAGCAAGTTGAAAAAAGACCTTTTTGACCTTGAGAAGGTCATTGAAGGTCAAATGTCAAATCTAAAGTCAGATTTGAACTTCTGAGAACATGTAGATGATTTAGAAAAAAATTGAAGTCAGTCTAAACAGTATTTGTTAAGTTATAGGAAGTTGTAAGAAATTGTTACAGACGCCGGACGCCAACCGCCGGACGCCAACCGCCGGACGCCAACCGCCGTCGCAAAAAACGGAGACCATAACAATATGTCACCACTTTTGGTGGTGACATAATAAGGGCACGGTGTTTTCTAACTAATAACTACCTCAATAATTTATGATACCTTAAAGTGTTCTTGGGGTATATATTTTTAAACCAAATTCAAATCATTTTTAGTAGGGGAGGGGGAGGTATCAAGATTTTACCCATCAGAATACCTTGCTTTGGAGACAAATGCATGGTAGTGACGGGCGCAAATCAATTTTGTATTTGACTTTCTATTATGCTGTTCTTCAATTGTTTTTTACAAATGGAGGATCTGAGTACACGAAAGCTCATATTATATTGCTACATTTATAGCGAACATTGATTTCTGAGTCTGTAAAAACAAAGTATGTGGGATCACCCTTGGTATACGCAGCTGACGAAATGGACCGGTATGGGTCAAAAGCTGGACCTGTACGGGTGAACTTTGGGGGTACTTAAAATCATTCAGAGGGATCATATATTTCAACTTAGATACGAAGAAGTCAATATTGAGCAAGTTATAGCTGTTTTAAATTCAAATAAAACCGTTAACCCGTACCGGTCCAGCTTTTGACCCGTACCGATCCATTTTGTCAGCTGCGTATACCAAGGGTGGGGATGCGGAAGAAGTTAGAAGCTCCTATAATTATTTGATATTACTTGGTATCATGGGCTTCCCCTTACTATTCCTTACATGGTCCTGATCGTGGCGGATGCCGAGTAACAACATAACAACTCTGACCCCCCCCCCCCTTGTATGGGATGTCAATAAATGAATATGCTGCCGGTTTTATGAGACCGCCAAAAATTTAATTCAATTTTTGGTTCAAATTTTAATTCACCTGCAATGCCGGACAGCCCTACAAGCTATTTCAAAACATTTATTGTCATTAAACGTAGACATGTATGTGCCATACATGAAACATCTACAAAATAGCAAACTATTCTTTAACATACTACTTTAAGATGACAAAAACAAATGTCACGTGAGTTGTATTCTGCCTTAGCTTGCAGAATTGTCTCAAGTGAATAAAAATATTTTAGACTCGCGCACCCATCCTTCGTAAAATTCGATTTACTCGCGCACACGTCATTTTGCGAGACACAAAAGTGCGAATTTCTCTTTAACCGGGACACGCTTGGATGAGATATTTGGTGAATTAGATCGTCTTCAGACATTGATGGTACGGGACAAGTTTCACAGAGATACAAAATCTTAAAACATGTAAAAAGTGTGATTACAAACCTCAAGCGAAAGAAAATGCGAATCACTCGCGCACACGTCATCCATGAAGTCACGTGACAGACTATAAGGGTGCGATTGTGCGTTGTTGCATTCGCGAATGATAATGGTTTCTCCAAAATTACAATTTACATTTCAAACAACAAAGCATTTAATTAATCTGTGTAGCTAGTGAAATGTTTCATGATAGGGAATGCTAGCATTTGGGTGCAATTGCATTTGAATGATTTGTGCGACATACCTACAAAAATAGTCGTGTATTACTTATTACAAGAAATACTTACCGGCAACTGTTGCACTTGTATAGCTCGGAAGTATGTACGGCCCGTTGTGCCTCTTCAGATGACTTGTCAAGTAAAACCTCTTTTTGCACACATCACACTCTCTTTACATAACTACCTCCCTTCTCATGCTGGCACTTAGATGATTTTCTTAGATGAGCACTGGCGGATCTTGCCCCCCCCCCCCTTGAGAGGGCCCAGAAAAAAATTGGGCCCAAATAAAATGTTGAGCCATAAGGACCTAAGGCCCAAAAAAGTGGGCCTTTTTGGTCATTACTAGGCCTTTTAAGGCCTTATTTTTTAATTTCAGGCCAAATTAAAAAAGAAAAAGAAAATGGGCCTCAAAATTTCCAAATTTAGGCCTACTTTGGGGATTTAGGGGCCCAAAATATTTTTCCACGCAAGCACGAAATATTTTTCTCTGACCTGAAATTTGTTAAAAGCATGAAAGAGAGCATGAAGATTTTAATTTGTGCATATATTAGGATTATGATAGAACGCTAGCCGTATTAGTTCTTCTTGATATTTTTGGATGATATTTGGAACAAGGGATGAGACAAGAGAAAGGACCATGCGACACATGTAATCAGGAATTTCACATGTTTCGTTCTGTGCAACGCATAAAACCGAGCTACGAGCTCTTAGCTAAAACCGATGGATTTACACTCGCTTGTAAAACGTTTTAACGCTGTCTTGGCTATGACTAGGGTCTCAAAACGTTTTAGCTAAGCGCTCTTAGCTAAGAGCTCTTGAGTAAATCTGGATTTACATTACTACATTTGTAAAAGGTTTTAACGCTAAAACGTTTTACGCAAAACGCCTAGTGTAAATCCAACAAAAAAGTATGTAACCATAGGTTAAGAATAGAAGCTCATTCTATTTCAGGTTTGGCAATAGATCTAGATGTCAGGTGTTGATACAGGTTCCTGTGCATTTTTATACCTCTTTTCCTTCTTGGTCTTTTTGTTTACTTTTAAATGAGATTAATCATATCTCATGTTATAATCACATTTAAAATTGATTTTTCTTCAAGATAATGCTAAAAACATATCCTTTATCTTAGAATCGTTTTGAAATATTATCAAAAAAGAGAAGCATGGCACTGCTCATTTTGAAATTCTCATGTAATAACACTAAGTTGTGTTTAGAGGTTATGTCACTATCGTTGCATATATGCCCGAGGGTTTTAGTGATATATGGTCCGACCTTGGGAGGGACCCCGGGGAGGGACATTGATCACTGAGAACCGAGGGCATATGTGCCCGGGCATATGTGCAACTATTGTGTGACATACACGATTTATAACATACCTATGATGATCTAGTCTGGTCAGAGAGTACCGTTTTCTTATCTAATTGACTAGCAATGGTTCGGAAATGATGATTTATTCCCATGTTTGTATCTCAGTTACGAATGTACGAGTCAATTTGACCGAGGCCTATGTATGACGTAGTCACAGCGCTTGACCAATCAGAAAGTTAGCGGGCGCGGGCTTTTCAAAAGTTATATTGGCCCGCTGTCTTGTGAACAGTTTACACTATACATCATGATAGGTATATAAACCCTTCTATTGAATCATGTGAATGCCCATGGTTAGGGTCTGAGGCCCCAGGAATACGTTAAAATGTTTAAAATGTCCGCTAGTGTACTGAGTTGTTAATGCGCGGTGTATACATGTATACTATTACTACTAGTAGTAAGATTTATAAGCTAAATGGATAAGTATAAGACTGCTTTTTTAATTAATGACAGTATACCCTGGCCTCAGGTTAGGGCTGCCAAATATTTGGAGGGAGTGTAAATTGTACAAAAACGCTTTTTATGTGAGGAAACCGAATGAAGGTGGGGCAGGCCTTTAAGACACTCTTCTCCAAGGGGGTGCGGTTTTTAATAAAGAGAAAATAAAATTGTCATTTTTTCCGCGTAAATCAAATCGCGTAAGTCAGAGGGGGGAGGGGGGGGGTCAGTTACTCTCCATATTAAGGTCACTCAGCCTATTTTGTAGTATTTTATTGTTTTCATATTGTTTTTAGACTAAATATTGTATGAGCAATTTGTGGAAACATTGGAATAGGGAGGGTGTGCTAGAAGGCAATAGAATCAATTTAAAGAAATTCTGATTTTTTAATCATTTTCTTCTTAGAGGAGCGAGTGGACAGCACAGGAAAATTTTACTAATTCAAGATGCTGTCTGGTTAATTCTGAGCGTTTTAAATGTGTTTGAGTAAATGAATGCTAAAGTTTTTGGGATGCGGTGTCAGAATTATTTATGATTTCATTACACGTCACTTGGTGATTTCTGGGCACTTTTAAAGTGTTTAAAACTAACAAATGCAACTTCCAAACATTCCCAATTGTTTTGTGGGGGGTGTGAGTCCCCCCCCCCTAGAAAATTTTACACTTTTGAGATGCACTTTTAAAGTGACTCTAAGATAATACATGAAATTCAAATTTTTTTCAATTGTTTTGTGGGGGATGTGATGGGTGACCGCAACTCATCAAATTTTACAATTTTAAGATGATATTTGGTGCTTTCTGGGCACTTTTAAAGTGTATGAGTCAATAAAAAAAAGAAAAACAATCACAATTTTTTCAAATTTTGGGGACGTCCAAGGGGGGGGGGGTGCCAAAGGGGGAGGTAGGGTTGGGGTTCCAGAGGGAGGAGTAAGTGGCTGTCCCCCATATCTGTCCCCAGAAACATTGACCATATTATATTATTAGTTTTATTTGTTATTTGCTTTATTGGACTTATATCTCGATGTACATTACATATTCAAGAGACCAATAAATATTATTATTATTATAAAGGTGCTATTTGATGAAGTCTGGGCACCTAAAATGTGTCTGGGACAATACATGAAATAAATTCAGAATTTTTGTCAATTGTTTTGTGGGGGATGTGCGGGGTGGCCTACTTCCTTAGAAAATTTTACAATTTTAAGATGCTATTTGGTGCTTTCTGGGCACTTTAAATCATATTTTTTTGTCAATTTTTTGGGGGGAGGGGGGATTGTCCAAGGGGGGGGGGGTGCCCGAGGGGGAGGTGGGGTGAGGATGCCAGAGGAGGAGCAAGTGTAAGTCCCCCAGAAACATTGACTATATCAAGGAGCTATTTGATGATGTCTGGGCACTTTAAAAGTGTCTGAGACAATACATAAAATATATTCAGAACTTTTCAATTGTTTTGTGGGGGTGTTAGGGATGGCCCACTCCCCCTAAAAGATTTTAATTTTAAGATGCTTTTTGGTGCTCTCTTGGGAGTGGGGACTTTCAGAGTGTATGAACATAGCCCATGGTATGAATCAATTGAAAAAAATAAGAAAATTCCCCCAAATTTTTTTTGGGGGGTGTCAGAGGGGGGTGCTGACGGCCATGGGGAATACATAAATAATTTTAAAAATAGAACCCCCGGTGCCCCGCTCACCAAATCCTGACTATGCCATTGTGTAACTGACTGTAATGGGGGGGGGGGGGGCATTCCATGAGCTTAACATAATAACGTTGATCGACTAGTTTAAGTAGTTGAGCTGTGATTGGTCAAATTGGAGTCAGCTCTACTACGTCATTTGTATTGGTTCAACACAAGAAAACATGGCGGAGTTGATAAAAAAAATTATGACAAAGAAAGTTAATATTAGAGGTGAATTTGCATTTTCTTTTAATCAAACCTAGGCAGTGATATATTCGACATTATAGTGGACCCTTATATCGATTTTGGACGACGAAATGGGAGCTAAACAAAGCACACCACCTCGCCAAAGAACATACTCGAATAGTGGGCAGATAGGGGCATCTGCTGGGGGCTCAGCAAATGGCAATGGGGGGTATGGAACCCCTGGGCCCAGTACCAGTAGTATGGGATTACAAATGAATTCACGAGGCCGTGCAAGAAGCCTTGGATCAGTACAGAATGGCCATGGCCAACCATTGACAATACCCTCAACTAATGGAACTCATGGAACTGGCACCCTAGATTCTGATTCTAGCACACCAGAGGACCCCCTCCCTTTGCCATTTAGCCGTGCAGGTCTCAGTGGGTTGATGCAGGCACATTCGCTCCCTGTTCAGTTATTTTCATTACACGGTAAGTCATTTATCCATTTCCAGGATGTCCTGCGCTCTAATCATAGGCGCACTGGAAGGGAAAAGTAATAGTAAGCTGTATATTCTATTTACAGCTTCCCTTGGCCTAATGCCCTAATGATTGTTCAGTGTTTCTAACGTTGGAGAAAGTATGCACGTATTGCACACATATACCTACCTCGATACATTCCTGAGTATTTTAGGATTCTTTTTATGAAGTTGAATCACCAATTGTATGGGTTTATAGGCAGAACGAAGAGATATCATTTTACATCAGAAATATCTTGGCACTCTTCAAGATGTCCGAAGGCAACCCCCACGGGGGTTCACTGTAAATAAACCTTGACAAGGATCCTTAGCGCACATGGGGTACCTTTTTTGACATTTGGTGGCAATGGACACAAAATTTAGAATTTGGTATGAGAATGCCCCCAAAATTATGACTTTTGAGGTATTGCAATGGTCAGACTTTTCCACATTCTGGAATGAGAATGGTCATTGAAAATATGTTAGCTCACATTTGTGGTATAGTTGGTCCATTAGTTCCACATATCCTTAATTCAAGGTTGTTTTGAATTGTTTTCCTCACATATCTGCCTTCTTCTTCGGGCTTTCTTCAATGATTTGGCATTGGACTTATCTGGACATTTGGTATGACATTGGTCCTACATTTGGTATGACATTGGTCTTATATTTAGACATTTGGTATGTGTTTTGTCGTCTAGCCCATATCCAATAGAGTCACGGTGTTATAGCATTACAGTTACGACAAGGCGATTTGCAAAAATGATAACAAAAAATGGCGGATTTGAAAGACAGCATGTCCTCTTTCTCGCCTGTAGGCAAGTTTCACAGATAAGATTTCCTTTTCAACTAGTTCCATTCGGTGACGTATATATGGATGGTTATAAAGACTGGGTCAAATCTGCCAGGTGGTTTACTAGAAGTGGAATATAAGCTGTAAACTTACCGACTGAGATGTCCAAGTTCATATATTTTCGTCCATTTTCGTGATTTCTCAGTATATGTGCCTCAGAGCCACTCAAACTATTAACAGTAAGTAAGGCCAAAGGACTTGGATTATTGGTTTTGCGTCCTTTTAAAATTGAATATCATCATGCAAGCAAGGTGAAAAAACAAACACAAAAATAAAACAAAATTGAAAATACCGTAAAAATTTACCGTTTTCACTAATTTTCCTTTTAAATCTTTTGATCGGCGGGCCTGTAGTACAATCTATAGTCGACTGTCTAGAGGAAATGACCATTCCTTCAAATATTGTACTACCAGTGGTCTTCCCACCCAATTCCATGGCAAAATAGTCAATTATTCCATTGATTTTCACACAAACCAAATGTGACATGGAGGCTGCCATCTTGGTTTTAGTACTGCACTGAACGAAATGTTGTATTTGTGGGAATTTCCCCGGGAATTTTAGATGTTTTAGGGTAAAAATATTTGTGTTTGTTTTTTTTACTTTTGGTCAAACTGTACATGCACGTGGACGCAAAACCAATAATCCAAGTCCTTTGGCCTAAACTGTGAATAAACAAGCCATAAAATGACAAATCCAGAACAGGAACATGGTCATATTGTAAATAATAAGGTTTCAAACGCAATGTCGTTAGACGACTACGTATGAATTCTATAGACGGTAACGTATTGTATTAGATGTACATTAGATATTTAGTGGACGGTTACGTGCATGTACATCTTTCAAGTTAAGGTTGCTAGTTCTGATAGCCTCTTTCCATGTTATTATTATAATGGGTAAGAAATGGAATATTGAATTGCTTATATTTGTGTTCAGGACTCGCAAGAGACGCTCTTGTTTGAGCCTCTATAGGGCAAGGAAAAAATTGTGTCTTGCTTTATTTATGAAACCAATTCAAGTCAAAAAGATAGCAATGAAGAGGCAAAAGAAGAATTAGCATCACTGCTAGATATTGTTCAGTGTTTACTGTAACAGCTTTTCTTGTGTCATCTTCAAAGATGTAAAGCCCATTTATGATACGCTTTGAGAGAACAAACCAAAGCTGTCTATTCTGTAGATTGCAATGGGCTTTAAGATACTTGGTCTGGGGGAGCTGTACCTTAATAAGCATTATTCTTTGAATTGACATTTCCATTTAGGAGAAAATGGGCTTCATCTGTAAACCATAGATCATTGTGCGTAGAATCCAAGTTTGTCTTCTGTGCCAGGGAGCACATTTGGAGCATGTCCTAAAATAGCCATCAAATAAAAATCGAAGGAAATTGATCACAATTTTACATAATGTCATTTATGAGGAAGTTAAAGGAAAAAACAATGGTCCACTTTTTTTCTGGTCACCATGTATTTGTTTTCCTTTTGATAGAATAAACACTTAAAATCTTAATGTCTGTAGAGGGAGGGGTCAATCACACCCCCCTCGATTTTTCAAGAGTACTATCTTGCAAAATGTTTTGCCTCAATCTCCACTCAATCCACTTTTTTAGCTTGAGCCACAGATATAAGACACTTTTTGGCGTAAAAACAAAGATTATTGGATAGTGGGAACTTGGTGCCAATAAAATTGAACTTCATAAAATATACAATACAATAGATGATTATTGCTCTGTTTGAAAGATAATAATTTAGCATATTGAATTCTCTTTATTTCATGAAAATCGAGCCTCTAGTCACAAAACACATTCTCTTCACAAATTTGAGAGAAAAATGGAATTAAAATTATTGAATGAGTATGTTTATTTTGTAAAATATTGCTTGTTCCAGTAATCTTATTGAAAAGAAATACCACATTTCCATTGATATTAATTTTTTTACTGGTATTTACAAATTTTTACATAATGCTGAAAATGCTACAGGCTTTTTTTGAATTTTCACAAGATACCCCAATATATCTATTTAGAATGAAACATTAACATTCAAGTACTTGCCCTTCGGGCTTCGTGGAATATCACTTGTGAAAGATGTACAGGTATTCACCTCAATAGAGTGAAATTTTTGTTTCATTATATCACTCTCTAGCTAAACATCCCTAATATTATTAAGTCATTAAGTCTTCAGATATTTTTACGAATCTACTCAGTTTATCTGCCATTTTGACTTACACTGAACTAAATTATTTACACTGAACGAAAACAAATTCTTTGAAAATTCCCGGGAGCGTGGGATATCGCTAGATATCTCAGGGTTGTCTTATCTGATTAGCATTGCCATTGAATATTGAACAAATATTTCACTCTATTGAGGTGAATACCTGTACATCTTTCACAAGTGATATTCCACGAAGCCCGAAGGGAAAGTGGAATATCACCTTGTGAAAGTGCTACAGGTATTCACCGAAAATAGAGTGAAATATTTGTTTTATTATATCACTGTCTATATATCTAGCTAAACCTCCCTTATATTATTAAGTCATAGGTTAACATTGAAATATATACGAATCTACTCGGTTCGTCTGCCATTTTGACTTACACTGAACTAAATTATTTACACTGAACGAAAACAAATTCTTTGAAAATTCCCGGGAGCGTGGGATATCGCTAGATATCTCACGGTTGTCTTATCTGATTAGCATTGCCATTGAATATCGCCAGATATCCCACGACATGTGACCCGGTTTTGACCAATCATACTGTCGCTAGCTAGATAGCGATATAATAACGCCAGATATCCCACGACATGTGACCCGATTTTGACCAATCATACTGTCGCTAGCTAGATAGTGATATAATAATATGAGATATTCTCAAGACGCGAGGAAGGTTTCTGTGAGTAGCCATTTAGTTTTTGATCACAATGCAAATATACCAGACTTAGAACTAAGCAGATTAAGTTTGACTTTCAATTGCTAATTGTTTATTTTCAGGAATAAAATGTCCTGTGTGTTCCAAACTAGTCCCGCCTGATGATGTAGAATGCCACCTTGTTATGTGCCTAACAAAACCCAGGATAAACTATAATGGTAAGTTATCCTTGGATGTACCCTGTGCTTAGAGTCTAGTTATAAACTACATTCTGCCTAGTATAGACTATATTACAGTTTAGCAGCCCCGCCACCTAGACCGATGCCCATGACAGCTTGGGTAATAAATCATTTCAGACCTACCACGCTGACCTTTTTATCGTACCTAACAAAAGGTACGATATTGTAGTCAGCTTGACGGGCGGCGGGCGGGCGGCGTCTCACTTTTCAGCTTGTCTACAGGTTTCCAGCCAAACCATTTGAGGGATTCATCTGAAATTTTCAGGGATGTTTCTACATATCAACGTCAAGAACTGATTAGTTTTTGGGCATTCTGGGTAAATCTTAAGGTGGCCATTTTGGATTTTCCGTCCTAAAATCTTCACTTTCAAGACTTGTCCACAGGTTTCCAGCCAAACCATTTGAGGGATTCATCTGAAATTTTCAGGGATGTTTCTACTTATCAACGTCAAGAACTGATTAGTTTTTGGGCATTCTGGGTAAATCTTAAGGTGGCCATTTTGGATTTTCCGTCCTAAAATCTTCACTTTCAAGACTTGTCTACAGGTTTCCAGCCAAACCATTTGAGGGATTCATCTGAAATTTTCAGGGATGTTTCTACATATCAACTTAAGAACTGATTAGTTTTTATTGGGCATTCTGGGTAAATCTTAAGGTGGCCATTTTGGATTTTCCGTCCTAAAACCTTCACTTTCAAGACTTGTCTACAGGTTTCCAGCCAAACCTTTTGAGGGATTCATTTGAAATTTTCAGGGATGTTTCTACATATCAACGTCAAGAACTGATTAGTTTTTGGGCATTCTGGGTAAATTTTAAGGTGGCCATTTTGGATTTTCCGTCCTAAAATCTTCACTTTCAAGACTTGTCTACAGGTTTTCAGCCAAACCATTTGAGGGATTCATCTGAAATTTTCAGGGATGTTTCTACATATCAACGTCAAGAACTGATTAGTTTTTGGGCATTCTGGTTAAATTTTAAGGTGGCCATTTTGGATTTTCTGTCCTAAAATCTTCACTTTCAAGACTTGTCTACAGATTTTCAGCCAAACCATTTGAGGGATTCATCTGAAATTTTCAGGGATTATTCTACATATCAACGTCAAGAACTGATTGGTTTTTGGGCATTCTGGGTAAATTTTAAGGTGGCCATTTTGGATTTTCCGTCCTAAAATCTTCACTTTTAAGACTTGTCTACAGGTTTCCAGCCAAACCGTTCAAATTTTTATTACATATGTTACACAGTGATAAGTTCTAGAGCTGATTAACTTTTCTGCGGCCATCTTGCTTTCTTGGGCAACAAGACCACAATGCTGTGTCTTATGTACGATATTGTTCACATCTGTGCCTTGTTCTCAACCAATCAACGAGCTGGAAGGAACACATGCTAAAAGCGTACACAATAATATAACACCCTACCCGGCATAAGAATTGAACCTAATTTGCCCAAACCTCATGTTTGCTGAAGTCCGAGTATTTGTAGGATTCCGAGTTCAAATGTGGGTGTGTTAATTATGAGATTACGTCAGAGAAAATTACCATATATAGAAAGTCATCCTTATTCTGACGATGAACTTTGATTCGCTCGGTAAGTTCAGAGATTGATTGAAAACTGTAAGAATGAAGAAGAAGCCCAGCTCTTTTGAGAAGCGAAGTCGAAAGAATGCAAAGGGTACCTTGGATGAAGAAAATGTTTTCAATTCTAGTGTTGTACTTATATGGGTCATAGTTATAGAGACAGAGCCCTTTTAAGTAAAGCCTTATTTTTGTATTGCTTTACATGATATATTATCCTAATCACTGTTCCACAGCTGGATGACTCTAGCTGCAGTTAGCTTCATTCCAGATGGTTGCCGAAATTCTTTCGTTTTCAATAAACCTCCGATTTCAGCTAAACTAAATTGAATCTGGATTCCGAATGTTTTGCCATGTAAATTAATAAAGCAACGATGATGGTAAATTACCACAAATAAATGCTCAAACAACCGTGATATTGGAGAATTTTAAAGAAAATGGCTTCACTTAGAATGACTCTAACTGAAGTTGATGATGACATAATGATGACGTAGATCATCAACTTCAGTTAGAGTCATTCGAAGTGAAGCCATTTTCTTTAAAATTCCCTAATATTGCGGATGTTTAGGCATTCATTTGTGGTTGAATACAATCATAGTTTTATTAATTTGCATGGCGAAACTTTTGTAATCGAGGTTTATCGAAAACGAAAGAATCTCGGCAGCCATCTTGAATAAAGCTAACTGCAGTTAGAGTCATCACGCTGTGGAACAGTGCTAATGACCATCAGTCTGTCAGTCAATCCGTCAGTTTCTCAGTCTATCTGTCCCTCCAGAAAATAAGAAAAGCACTGTCTGTTTTCTCATACCTAAAGCAACGATTTAAAACCAGCTATATTCCTGATCATGGTTTCATATTTCTTGTATTGTACAGGGTGTCCGGAAAGATACAAATGCTCAAATTTCAATAGATTTACCTCTTGTGAGATTGCTATAGCCTTGCTTAAGTCGGTATTTTTTACTAATCTGATCTTGAATTATTACCGCCTTGTACAATCCAATACATCTCCGATGATATTATGCTGAGATATTCAACGGTTTCGAGATTTCCATAATACCAACGCTATCAGGGGTATTGCGAAACTTTATTGATTGACAGATCGCATGGACGACACGACGTGTGACATCAGGCTGATTGACCAATCAAAACCAGGAACGTTATCAGGTTGAGCAGCATAAACAAAGCAAACTTCCAGTCTACTACTTGAAATTCAATGATCTGATCGAGTGTTTCTTTAGAGTTGCAATATCATTCATGAATATATTGTGTAATTAAATGTACATTGGGATGTAAGAGTCATTAATATAAATAAATCATGCGATTCAATGTTGATTTAAAACTGATTTCGCCATGAAAATGCACTATGAAAATGTAGCGGGTCATGCAGTCGATTAGTGATTCAATCTCAGCCTATATGTTCGATCATTTGAATTCAGCGATCGTTTCAACGTTTATTGTTGAAATCTTATCACCTCGGTTATCCAATCGATGCTCCGGCATCCACTAAACTCTGATTGATATTTATCTGATAAATATTTGTATTTTCATGATGAATTTGTGCAAGATTTGTTCGTGAAAAGTCCCGGTGAAAAGTGTACTTGTTTTTGACCGTGCATAATAATGAGCTTACGCTACAGGGCCGTCGTTGATTGGTCAAATTTTACCGACATCAACAAACTGTCGGTAAAGCACGTGGCTTTCTCTTGGGTACAAGGCGGTCATAAAAGAAATCAAGATAAGTAAAAGATTTATACAGATTGTAGAATAACAACTAATCCTGCAACTTTCATACCATATCATTTCAAAATGAAAATATTATGGAGCAACGTCACAATTGCGTTTTATAATTCTTTTTCCTGCTCATATATTCCTGGCACTAACTTGAAAGATGTTCCTATCTAATTAGGCTATTATACATCAAATTATGTATACAACAGCATGAGGATAATACCCTTTGCAATCATTCGACTTCACTTCTTAAAAGAGAGCTCCGTCTTCTGTAGTTTAACTAGACTCTGCACGCAGGGTATGAGTACTGTAACATTATTTAATCATTTCATATTAATGCTGTTATCCAGTATTCTATATTTTCTACCATTATCTGAACATTCGTGGTGCATCCCGACCAGATATTCAAAGACCTGACAAAACCGCTGCTGTCCACCTCTTAGATTGCTGATAACATTGCAGGCCTGTCAACTGTCCCGCAATTTGCGTATTTGTCACGCATTTGCTGAAGAATTTGAAGTCACGCCAGTTATTTTTGCGTGACAGAAAATGTCACGCAAATACGCATTTTATCTGGTAATTGTCAAGCAAAAATATTTCTGTAGAAAATTTTCTAAAAAAGATCGTCTATACAGCAAAAATACGAACGACGGGAAAAAACGTACGCATTTCATTCTGACTTTTCACGCGAATTACGGATATGTCACACATTCCGTTCGAAAATTTGGCAAGATGTAATAAAATTTAAACCAAGGTGTTCAAAATTTGGTTCAAGGTGTTCAGATTTGGACCAAGGTGTCCACATTTTGAGGGGAGGTGTTCAACATTTCCAAGTCACTCATGTTAGGTGTTCCCAAGTTGACAGGCCTGACATTGGCATATAAAACATTGCTTTCACATATTCGTAAATGTAGAAATCTAACAAGACTTTATCATGAGAATATCGGCCATTGTACAAAAAGATTAATTCTCCTTTTCGCGGTTCGCTTTTTGAATCAGAACGTTCGCAAATATGCACTGAAAAAGCACTCAAAAAGGACAAAATTTGATTGGTCAATATTTTCCCACTATGCTTTTCGCGTAGTTATTTGCGTGACACGAAAGTTCTAAATCAAACTAATTACTCAATTTTGTTTTTACACCCGCACGCTAAATAAAACAATGACACCATCGTAAGTATTCTTCTTTGTCATTGCTTTAATAGTCAGTATACGGAGTTGAATCAATAAAAGATTGTACAATGAACAACAAAACTCGGAAACGAGTACTATAGATTTGCTTTCGGACCACTGAACAGATTGACCTAGATAATAGCGACGCGTCTTCTTTGGTCTACTGCTCAGTTGTTTGTGGGTTTTCAACCGTAACTCTATAATGTAATTAGAAGATGAATACTTTTATTCAGTTGTTGCATCGATGTCGCAGTTTGTAGTGCGGTAAGATTGGCATGAAAGTCGAATGGAATTGTTTTTTCCAATATGGCGACTAGTCTACTGATCACGTGACCTTCTCTTCCGGAATATTTTCTCACTTTTCAATCATCGTTTTCACCACGCTATGAATTAATACAATGAAAAAAATAGTTGTTATATTAAGATTAATGAGAGATCAATCGTTTCTAATTATTTTTTCTGTACTCTCGTACGGGAATATGAACGAATATATCGTTTGAAAAATAGGTGTGAAAATCCCAATGTTAAACCTATGAGGGAAAATAAGGAAGTATAAATTTGTTCCTCCGCGAACTGCATCATGGGAAATATTTTGCCCTTATAAGGAAAGATTTTCGCGTCTTCTCTTTTGAAGAGGGAACAGCGATTTCGAGAATTGTCATGGCATCCAATTGTTAGATTTGTTTTGTTTGCTTTTTGAATTGGTGCATTGTGGAGGATGAGGTGCAGTATTGGCTTTCTTATTAATTCAGGGACTTTTTGTCTAAGTACTTATATGATATTTACTTGATGACATTACACAGTTTGATATGCATCAATGATATCAATATACTAAACAGAACACTAGCAACAATAATACAACACTGAACAAAACATTCATAGAAAATACAATAATCTATCCCATTTTAGCGATATTCTGGAGCTGCTCCGCATACCTCTCACCACCGTAACCATGACAACAATAAGTTAAACACGTTTAGACAGTTGAAAGTTGGTAGATATATCGTCATAGTGTTCCTGTACAATCTGTAGCAATTTCATTTTAAAAAACCTAAATCTCTTAAAATTAGAGTATTTGTATCTTTACTTTCTGGAAATCCTGAAATTAATTGCAATCCTATATTAATTTTACGAGATTAATTTACGGGACACACACTTTTTGAAAATATGAAAATTAATTTATAATATTATATCAATTTACTTGTTAGGACCATAAGATGGATATGCAACCAAACAAATAAGTATGTGATGCACAATATTTTTCATTTTAGCATTTAGAGGTGTCCCGTAAATTAGGTTTGTAAATTAAACGTGTGTTAAAGTATACTGTTATGCGTCGTAACTTCTCAAACTTTGATACAGGGCTTCCACAGACCATAGCCATCCATAAACTAAGTAGCCTCAAAAACACCTCAAAAGTCACATGCTTAACTGAGAATGTCAGTGTATAGGTTTCCATCCAAACTGTTTCATGGGTTCATCTTTTATTTTCAGGGATGTTTCTATCTATGAAAGCCTAGAACTGATCAGTTTTTCATCATTCTGGGTAAATGTTGAGGTGGCCATTTTGAATTTTCCATCCTAAAATATTGTATGTCGAGGTTTGTCCACAGGTTTCCAGCCAAACTGTTTCAGGGATTCATCTGAAATTTTCAGGGATACTTTTATGTATGAAAGTTTAGAACTGATTAGTTTTTGGGCATTATTATCCCATGGAACGAAGTTCAGAGGTATATAGGGAATGCCTCCATACGTACGTTTGTACGTACATCCGTCCGTCCGTCCGTCCATCCAGGCAATAACTCATATAATATGTTCATATTTTGTACACATATACCCTATGGGGGTAGAAGTTCTGCTTGAAAGCCGATTTTCAAAATGGCCACTCATTTAAAAATGGCAGCCATTCTAGTGCCGATTTTACAGTAATTAAGGTGCAATATGTAAAACTGTAATACCAATATGTTTTAAATGTAAAAAAATTATATAGGACATTAATAAAGCTAGAAATGTAGATATTAAAGAAGCACATGGCAGCCATCTTGAAAAATGGTGGCCTTTAATTGTTATTTTACGATTTTTGCTGTAACTCAAAAAGTAGTGGAGCGATTTTGTTCATATTTAGTATGTGAATACTATAAGCATATCACACTGTCTAATGACACTTTTGGTAGAAGGTAGCCATTTTGAAAAATGGCCACCATTTTAAAGTATTTTACTATAACTCGAAAAGTAGTGGAGCGATTTTGTCCATATTTTGTATGTGAATACTATAAGCACGGCACACTGTCTTATGACACTTTTGGTAGAAGGTGGCCATTTTGAAAAATGGCCACCATTTTTGCCATATATTTTGTTTGTAAAAATGCCAGCCATGGCTGTTCGATTGGATTTGCTATGCTTTGGCGTTGCTGTTGTCTAGTTGGTAAATGTTAAGGCAGCCATTCTAAAATCTTGTCCTCTGTACCTGTAACAACACTAATAGCATAGGATAAACCATATTATTCAAAACGTGAAATGTAAATCTTCATTATACTGAAGTAATTCGCTTTTTATTTTACAAAGTACATGTATTTTAAAAGTTCAAGTTCAATTTGACTTATGATGAGGTAGAATATTACATTACATTCTTCTATATAAAAGTATTTAGTTGGAAATGATCAGCAGGGTTTCCTAATTAGTGTCACCACATGTTTTTTTCATTAAGTCTAATTGCTTGGTATTGATGTAGATCTTTGATATACCATCAAGCAACATTCTGTATTTGTGCTGACTCGGTAAATGTGGTAGTTTGATTTTCAAATCATAATTTTATAATAACAGTCCATCTTGGCATCCACCCTGCACCTGTCTCATAAGTTATAAGAAGGAACGTCAGACACACTTATGACATATGAGAATGTATTATTGATTCGATCATGACTGTAATCACGCCTTCTATAAACTGTGAACAAAGTCAATATTCCACCCGATATTTATTCGTCGATACAATATCTGGTCTGTACTAAGTGTTTCCTTCAGTGCTAAACCGCGATTAGGAAATGAAGTGACGATTTTGCAAAATTTTTGTGATTTTTCATGTTCAAATGGTAATATAGACTTCAGATCAGGGATTCAGGTATTATAGCGAGTATTGAATACCTTATGGCCTAGTCACATAGCCCGGCCGATGAGGTTACGATGAGCCAGCGATGCAATTTTCATCGAACTCGGCCGAACACTGGCCGGACACCGGCTGGACATCCATGGCCTTTGTTGCTTAAAACCGCATCGGTGGTAGCTTGGTGAAATTTCGACTTCGGAGTTAAATTTCACCGGGCTCTCAACGAGCTCCATCATCATGTCATCGCAGCCCCATCGTAACCACATCGGAAAACATGTCGGCCGGTGCACGGCCGAGTATCGGCCCGTGTCCCGTGCATCTGAGACAACCAGAGGACGAGGTTTTTTAATGGACAGCGGCCGAGCTCCGACCGAGCTCCAGCCGATGTGGGACAGAGCATCGGCCGGTCACTGTTCAAAGCCCGTTAACAACCCGGCCGGCGATCGCACGGTGTCCGGTTACCTGCTCGGGTACCGGCCGTATTCCTTCCGATGTCCGGCCGACCTCCGGCCGGTAGTTGCTGCCACATCGGCAGAAAAAAAATACCATTTTGAGACAGACTCTGTACGGTCACCGGCCGGTGTTCGGTCGGTCGCCTGAAGATGTCCGGACGGAGTCCGTTCACGTCACCGAGCTCTGCTTCCGATGAGGAGAGCTCGGTGGCACAAAAAAAGGCCACCGAGCTCTACCGATGCCGGACATCATCATTTGGGGTACAGAAAACATTTGTGAACCCTGCAGTATTTATTTGTCGATATGCTGTTTTGCCTATATTTTTTGAGTACAGTATACTTAAGGATTTAAGCCTTGGACTCGTGCATTGTGTGCTGACTGATGAACCATTCCACGAAGATGTTGTTTCCAAATCTTTGCATGACCCCGCAGGGGGAACGCAAAGTTTAGGAAACAACATCTGAGTGGAATGAAGCAGCCACAATGCATTGAGTCGTGGGCTTAAATTCTTTTCACACATTGCAAAATATTTTATATAAAATCACTTAAAAGATACAAAATCAGTAAAAGAACATATTTTCAATGAAACCTTTTGCAAGGGTCAAGTCTTGGAAAGCTCAATTTCAATCTTAATCGCTTAGCAACTGTACACAACAAATGCGCTATTGATATTTCACACACTGTTCATTATGTGAATACTCTGTTCGGATTGGCTGGAATCAGACACACCCTGCCTAGCTATGTTTGAATTTGTTTTCAGAGGATGTCCTGACAGAGGATAAGGGAGAGTGTGTAATATGCTTAGAAGATCTTGTACAAGGAGACACCATAGCCAGGCTGCCATGTTTATGTATATATCACAAAACGTAAGTGTATATACAAAGTCATCCATATTTTGGCGATGAACTCGGATTGGCTCAGTGAGTTCAGAGATTTGTTGTAAACTGAAAGAGTGAGGATGAAGCTATTGCAATCACTCACTTGTCCGTCTGACTGTCTATCTGTCCGTCCGTCTGTCTCTCTGTCCGTCCGTCTGTCAACAATTGGCCCATTTTAAAACCTCTGTAAATAGGATTCCCGTTTAAAGTTATTTCTGTTCAAAATCAATATTAGAAAACTCTCCTATGACTCCTGGTTCAAAAGCTGGCATATTTTCAAAATGGCCACCATTTTTGTCTCGCGAAATTCATTTTTGGACCATTTGCTTTAAAACCAGCTGTGTCGATAGGATTCCTGTTTTAAGTTATTTTTGTTCAACAGCAATACAGAAAACTCCCATATGACTCCCGGTTCAAAAGCCCGCCTATTTTCAAAATGGTTGCCATTTTTGTCTCGCGATTTTGGCCCTTTTCCTAGCTTTACAAATAATTTCAGGTGTCCTGCATTGTAAAAAGCCATGTCACTGTAAAGAGTAGTTGTATGAAATAATTTTGTAACAAAAAATCGGCAAAAAATTATATCCGTTTTTTTTCATTTTCAGTCATTTTAGTTAACACTGTTTTGTCCATCTGTCTCGTTAAATCCGCTTTTGGACCATTTGCCTTAAAACCTCTGTCGATAGGATTCCCGATTTAAGTTATTTTTGTTCAACTGATCTTATCAAAGATAATTCTTGCATTAAATAATGCGGACAATTGCTTTATGACAAGGCCAAGAACCCTGTTACATGAGACAGTGTGATTTTGTACTTTAAATGTAAATACATGCAAGCAATGCCAATCAATCATGACAATCAATCAATTGTTTTTTGACAATTTATCTTGTTTGGTGACTATTTTGAGGAGAGATAGCTAGCAGACATGCCTGACACTTGAAAAATTGGGATTTGGAATTCATTGGGATTTGCTATGCCTTTGCAATGCCCTTAGATCACAGAAAATGCCATATCAACACTATTATTTTTATTTCTAGGTGTATAGATGACTGGTTCGTAGTGAACAGATCCTGTCCAGAGCACCCATTAGATTGACCCCATCATATAAACCCTGAATACACAATCCTTTGCCAAATAAATTATTGTTATTATTGATATTATGGGATGGATGCCATAGAAGTGGATGTATTTTTCTAATGTATGGAAACTGATAGTCATGCGAATGGAGCACAGTTTGGATGACACATATGTATTTATACTGTTTCAACAGAAATGCTGAATAGTTATGTGATGTATGGTCACAGAGTGGAAATGAAACAGCATGTCACCAAGTTAATGCATAGCCAAAGAATGAGGATTATATGGTAAAGGTATCAACTATATAGGCTCAGAATATTTACGTCAGTGCAGTTATTGTAAGTAATCTAACCATATTCCAGTATTTATGTAAACACAAGGAATGATAAAGGGCAATATCCAAAAGTAAGGCATCATAATGTCATTCCAAAGTGTACAATAAGTGATTAAATGGTATCATTACGACATACCAGAGTCTAGAATATGTGATTAGTAGTATCATTACGACATACCAGAGTCTAGAATATGTGATGGTATCATTACGACATACCAGAGTCTAGAATATGTGATTAAATGGTATCATTACGACATACCAGAGTCTAGAATATGTGATTAAATGGTATCATTACGACATACCAGAGTCTAGAATATGTGATTAAATGGTATCATTACGCCATACCAGAGTCTAGAACATGTGGTTAAATGGTATCATTACAACATACCAGAGTCTAGAATATGTGATTAAATGGTATCATGACGACATACCAGAGTCTAGAATATGTGATGGTATCATTACGACATAACAAAGTCTAGAATATGTGATGGTTTTATTACGACATACCAGAGTCTAGAATATGTGATGACGTTGTACACAATGCCATATCACTTGTGAAATCATGTAATGAAGTGGTATCTTAATGCCATCTCACAGTGTAGAATATATGATAAAGTGGTATCATTGGATAGAAGTAAAATACTATTATGAGAGAATCCATTTTGAAGTTGGCTGGAGGCTTTCCGCTTCTGCCTTGAGATAGCAGGCCAAATGTCAGGCAGACTTGGTTGGCCTTTCACCACATAACAGGCCTTCCCAGAGAGCATCTCTATAGTTAGCAAATGTGGCAAAGGGTTTACCTTTTTATAAACAAGAACTTGCTCAGTCTTGAAGACAGCACATGTCTTTGTGGAACATGTTAAAACGCTTCAGGGCCCATTACGAACAATTAATTCAGTGAAGTGTATTTTGTGTGTAAATTGTAAATATATACAGTGTAGGGGTTAGCATTTCAGCTTAAAGTTGGATTTTGGATGACTTTTAGTAGGGATTTCTGTAGATTGGGTTAATTTGGCGATACTTAATTTGGCGATTTTGCCATTTTTGGCATATTGGCGGCTATTTAATTTGGCGGATTGCAAAAAGAAAAATTTTTTTTTTAAGGACCACTGGCGATATTCACCACGTTTGTACATTTTTGTGAGATCACCCTTTACATTTTGTACCTCGATCTATGCTGCTACCATACTGCGTTTTTCCCTGAGTATTAATGAGTGACTGACCAGTTCTGAGCCAATTTATGAGAGACATTTTTTCATATTTTTGGAAAAAGCTAAACCGGAAGTGACCTAAAACACTGGACAAAATACCCTAGATAATTCCCGGGGATTCATTCTAAATTTTGGTGAAGATTTAAATTGGCGAATTTTTCATTTTCGCCAAATTCGCCAAATTAAAGCGGGCGCCAAATTAACCCAATCTACAGTATGTATTTTTAATATTAATTTTCTTTCCCAATGAATGAAGTTTGTTAGGGATATAGTGAAGTCTGCTGTCCATCAGTCTGTCTGTTCATGGAATAATTCACATACTACTAAAGTAGACTTTTCAGTTTTTTTGTCTAATAAAAAACACATCTATATTCTAAGTTTTTTGGCCCGACCCCAAACAAGTACATTATCTCCAATCAATTTTAATATATTTCTGATGTATGATTTATTATACACTCAATCTAAGGTATTTTAGAGTAGATTGCAAATATTGTACAGTTTTTCTGGTTTGTGTCCTCAAAAAATTTAATATGAAAATTCTGGGATATCTTCAAAGAATGGCTTTATTGTACTCTGATTAAAGGTGTTGACGTTTTTTAAGGTTAATTTTAGATTGGATTGCAAATATTAATGCCTTAAAGAGTCCAAAATGGTTGGCCAAATGTACAAAATATGCAGATATCATGATTGGGATATCTGCAATGTCAATATATTTATTCTGTTTGTTGGGCTTTGATACTCTGTGGTGGAGTTGCTGTTTTCTAGTATTATGTTTTAAGGTATTGTAGTAGCAATGCAATGTCAAAGCATTTTAAGTTATATATTATTTATATGAAGTATTTCTAAAATATTACAGGATAGGCCAAGGCTGTATGCTTGCTGCTACATATTTATAAAATAATTTGTAATGAACCATATGAAAATATGTTTTCAGTTGTCTTGCAAATACTGTTTATGCTTCCTATCATGAGATTTGAGTTCATGCAGAGATCAATTTGTATAATGCAATTGCTATTTTTAATTGAATGAATTATATATACTAGTAGTGATATAGTGGTCTGTAATTGGTAAATGCTGAAGCTTTTCTGAATTTCTGAAGATAAAAATTTTATAGCATTATTCTGACTTGAATTGAAAATGCTTCTATACTGGCTTTAACTTGGTTTATATCTTCATGAGATGGGGTTATACTTGAATGTAGATGTGTTTTGTTATATGTAAACTATTAATGAATAATTACTACTGTCGTAATCTAATATTGGCAGATACATATATGTGTTCAAACATGACTGTTCTCTAATTGATTTCATCAACCAATCAGAATACAGCATTGGCGTTCTCTAATTCTCCATACATGACCGACTCTGCATCTATGTTTTGTGTTGTATTGTGACGTCACACCTGGGAATGGCGAAAATAACAGCAAGTTTGGTTATTTCAAGGACCTCAATCCCCAATTTTCTGAACTTTTTTTCATTTTTTTATGTTTGAATCTAAAATAATAATGATATTATTAAATAAGGAAAGAATTTCAGTACAAACACACTCACTTTTGGTTCATGCTTTGTACGACATTCTGTCCAAGTCATGCTGAATTACACCATATTGTTTATTCCTTAAATATAAATGACGATGGCTATATCAACATTTTGGAATTGACATTTTATTCTTATATATTGTGTAGCATCATGGCATTGATTTTAACTGTACACAAAAAATATGTTAGTATGTATAGATAGTGATATAATGTAGCAATATTTATTTTTATCCATGTACATATCTATTTATAAGATAATTACAGTATAGTTGATTTTCTCACTGAGCTGTCACATTCAATGCTTGTCACCAGAAATGCTTCAGCCATTGTACCCACTATGATCTGGCCAAACTAAAACAAATAAAAGAAAATCTGAGATAGTTCCAGTATTCATGCCTCCCTATTTTTTGATTTGTGGGCTCAAATAGAGTAATCACAAGGAGCATATATGTCTCTAACTCACAACCTCAAGGTGGCACAAGGGCTTATTTAATACCCGGGGCTTAGTTGTGTACCAAACGAAACGAGAAACGGCACGACATCCGGGGCTTTGTTTGGTCTTCATTAGACAATGGTGTATAGAGGGGTAGGTTTTCTCAGACCTATTTACCATTTTCTGTATCGTTTTGTGGTTATTATCGCACCCTAAGGTGCTATGTTGAAATCAGTTTGCCGGGCGGGTGGGCGGACGTCCCGAATAATTTTGTCTACAGGTTTCCAGCCAAACCGTTTGAGGGATTCATTTGAAATTCTCAGGGATGTTTCTACCTATGAAAGTTTAGAACTGATTAGTTTTTCGGCATTCTGGGTAAATGTTAAGGCGGCCATTTTGGATTTTCCATCCTAAAATCTTGTCTGTCAAGGCTTGTCTACAGGTTTCCAGCCGAGCCGTTTGAGGGATCGATTCATTTGAAATTCTCCGGGATATTACTACCTATGAAACTGATTAGTTTTTTGGCATTCTGGGTAAATGTTAAGGCGGCCATTTTGGATTTTCCGTCCTGAAATCTTGTCTGTCAAGGCTTGTCTACAGGTTTCCAGCCAAACTGTTTGAGGGATTCATTTGAAATTCTCAGGGCTGTTTCTACCTATGAAAGTTTAGAACTGATTAGTTTTTCGGCATTCTGGGTAAATGTTAAGGTGGCCATTTTGGATTTTCCGTCTTAAAATCTTGTCTGTCAAGGCTTGTCTACAGGTTTCCAGCCAAACCATTTGAGGGATTCATTTGAAATTCTCAGGGATGTTTCTACCTATGAAAGTTTAGAACTGATAGTTTTTCGACATTCTGGATAAATGTTAAGACGGCCATTTTGGATTTTCCCTCTTAAACTCTTGTCTGTCAAGTTTGTCTACAGGTTTCCAGCCAAAACCCTATGAGGGATTCATTTGAAATTCTCAGGGATGTTTCTACCTATAAAAGTTTAGAACTGATTAGTTTTTCGGCATTCTTGGTAAATGTTAAGGCGACCATTTTGGATTTTTCGTCCTAAAATCGTGTCTGTGAAGGCTTGTTTTAAAAAATAAAAATAAATTTCCCATTGAGAGCAATGTTAAATTAAAACTTTTTTTTAGAAATAACTAAACGGTCAATCTTTCCAATTTTCACATATTTATAATACCTGTATATCTTTTACCAGGATTTTTTTCAGGAAAATCTGAATTGTAGAAAAAAGCTGATACACTGTGAAGTAAAACCTTAAAACGTGTCTCTTGGGGGTTGTTTACAGGTTTCATGTATTCATCCTAAAATTTTAGACATGTTTCTATTGAAAGTTTAGAACTGATTAGTTTTTAGGCAGTCTGGGTAAATGTTAAGGTGACCATTTTGAATTTTCCATCCCGAAAAGTGTATTCTGTTCAAGGGTGCTATTCTGTTCACCCTGTGGCTTGTTTTACTCTATAGCATTGGAATCTGTTCACATCATGAGCAACATAATTGTTTAACTTAAACATATGACATTTAAAAAATGGCTTGATACGAACAGAATAAACAGGGAAATGTAATTTGAGTGGCGATTGTGTTTTCTGTTAATGTGTGTCACTCTGCTTCGGAAATCCCCCATAACAGTCTATGGCTCACGTGATTATGCAAATGAGAAAACCCCATTGGTTTCCCGGTGGTACAATCAAATCTGATGCGGACAATCTTTGTTTTAATTATTGTTTCTGAATGGTTCGTGACCGAAATTCACTTAGCTATAGAAAATATGTTACGTTATAAGGACAGATTGTTTTTACTTACAAATCATCAACATGTTCTGACATATTCAGCTCTGGACTTATGTCCAAAGGGGGTAACACACATCGTCAGAAAATATTTTAAGTTCTCACACCCCTATGTTTAATCATGGACCTGAAGTCCATGGTTTATTGGCTAATTCAAATCGGATGCGGTAAAAAACCGAACGCCAATTTGCGAATGTTTCGGGTATTACGTTCGCCCTAGGGTGGCATGGGCTTTCCAGAGAAACTTTAAAGCCCATGGTTGTGTAAATGACAACAAAACATCTTTGAACTTTATCATTTGATGTTCTGGATG